ACCGCTGAGTTCGTTTAGAAGGTCCAGACCTAAACGTGAAATGAGATGATTAGATTCAAGAGGCTTCCTACTGAACATTCAACAGAAAGCTCCAGTACGAGAAATCAATCAGTGGGGATGAAAACCCCGGAAGTGTTCGCACCAAATATGAGTATACAGGGAGATAATCGAGCAAGAACATTCATATTCGCATCAGGAGTAAAAGGGCAAAATAACTTCGAACTCTAGGGATTGGCTGTAACCTTCGCAGCAGATTGACCGCAAGCGTCGGGCCCAGTTTGGAGGAAAGAAAAACACGCCGAGAAAAGAACATTGGTTTCCCGAGAAAACGAAAGGCTCATTGCCAAATCTGTTTCTATTTCAATTTCCCAAAGATACCCGAAATTCGCGCTTCCTTCGTCAACAACTTTTTCTTGGAGCCCAAGCTCTTCCCTTTCCCCTGTCTTCTCTGTGTTCTTCCCCAAATTTAAACCCAGAAATCAATTCAAGATGAGTGGGCTAACAACCAACGGACACAAATTCCACGCTTCTCCTCTCTTATTGGGCCTTAGCCCACAATCCATTGTTTGACCGTTTTAATTTTATAATATATTTTAATTATATGATATGATCCCAAACAATGTCACGGGTTTAAATAATCATGGTACCAATTATTCGGATCCAATGTAAATATCCTAATTATCATGTCCAGATTAGTCTTAATTAATTAATTAATTAATTAATTAATCAATCAAATCATTTCCAGTCGAATTAATTTAATATATATATTCCTCCATTAGTAGTCTTTCTTCTGTAGTTTCGAATACTGAGTATTTTTTTCGTCTGCCCAAAACCTTTCTTTTGGATTAATTAATCATTAAGTCATTATTGGTTACTTGTTGTTTAGTATAATTTCATTCATATGAACTAATCAACAGATTGACGTGATGTCTTATATTACTCAGCAAATTGTCCATCACTAAAGTTTTTATTTTATAACATATATGATAAGGCTGTTTATTTCAGGTTACAATTAATTTTTATTCCGATTTTTTTTTTCTCTTCGTAAAATTTATATTCGTTTCATTTTGTATAGAATGTTAATTAGTTTAAAAAAAAACATTTCAGTATCAAACAACTTGAAAGTCGATGGAAATTTATATTGAATAAGAGAAACGTTCTTTGAAAATTTTTATAAAATCAGTGAGAACGATTTCGGAATGCTCTGGTCGTCATTGAAAGGCATGCATCTGTTGCCTGAAGTAATAAAATATTTGATCTTTTTCTTATATTACATTTGCATTAACAATAATTTTAATATGCGTTTCGTTAATTTTTGCAATTAATGGATTTAATTAAATCGATTAGAAAAGAGATTACGGAGATCTATATATACTTATCCAAAGGCTTTGATAGGCTGATCGATCAAGTCAAAGGCTGCGGGCGCCGAGCATCATTGCTAATAATTATTCAATTGACTAAATTCTTTTATATTGTATGGTATTTTTTTTTAAAAAAAAACTAAACAATACTACTATAGTTTTGTAGAATTTCAGGGTTTTATAAATAGTAGTAAAATATTTTGGTTCAATATTCTAAGGAGGGTTATTAAAAAAATGTCATACGGTAGTAAAAAAATATCGAGTAATATTTTTTTTTAAAAAAGACATTCAACTTCCATATCTAAACCCAATTATTACAACCTATACGTATATCCATGACGTGTATGTGTGTATGTATGTATATATAGTACAATGTTGGTGCATGATAGTAGTGGAACCACTTATTGATTGCGTTTGCTCTCTGGACCTCCTCCTCCTTCTTCTTGCCTAACCTCTCAAATCTCAAACCCTAATTTTCTTCTTTCGCACCCAACACTGGGGCCAAAAAACAAACAGGGTTTTGTTGCCGTATTAACGATAATACCCTTATCCCCCTCGAGAGTTTCCGATGATCAAGTCTCTCTCTTTCTCTCGTGCAGAATCTTAGGGAAAAGAATTACAATAAACCCTAAATCATATGCGTATATACGCATAAATATTTATGTCTTGATCAAGCAAAAACAAGGAGTGCTTTTCGTTTTCGTGGGTTGAGGAGAAATGGATTCTGCAAATAGCAGTAGTATGCAATCTTCGAGCGGCGGAGATGAGGAGTACGATTCACGCGCCGATCAATCTCTCTCGGCGTTTCTCGACCACCGCCACCGCCACCTCTCCGGAGCTCCGCCGCTGCAGCAGCACCGCCACACCGAGCAACTCGACTTCGACAACTCTTTGCTGTCTAACTACTTCGACAACAATTCCTTATTATCGCCATCGTCGTCTTCGTTCTCTTTCTTGACCCGATCCGACCCGACCACTTCCCAACCCGGCTTCCGCCCCACTTCATCGGTTCCTCGCCCTCCTCCTCCTCCTCCGCCGCCACAGACGCATCAGAACAACATCATGGGAGTGGTGAAGAGGTCGAAGAAGAGATCGAGAGCGTCGAGAAGAGCTCCGACGACGGTTCTGACGACGGACACTTCGAATTTCAGAGCGATGGTTCAGGAGTTCACCGGAATTCCAGCTCCGCCGCTGTTCTCCGGCAACGTCACACGTCTGAACACCTTCCTCGGCTTGTCTCCGTCGTCTTCCTCCTCGTCGGCTTCTTACAATCTCTTGTTACGACCTTTTGGTCAGAAACTTGTTCCCACATCTCATCCGCTCTCCTCGGAATCCTTGCTGAGGGCTTCTATCAATGACAGCCAGCTTCATGGTTCTTCTGGTGATGTGTTCCATAATCTTCACTTGCAGTCTCTTCTCCAAGTTCCGGTCTCGAATACAAACCCTAGGAGTGATCAACATGAGATTCTGAAAACGAATTTTTTCGCGGAGGGGTTTGGTCTTGGTGGATTACAGAGCACAGATCCTCCGTCGACGTCGACGAACAGAGACGGTGATAGCGGAGGTTTTGGTGATCTTGATCGCCATGATGATAATTCTCTGAGATTGATCACTGAAAATGGCGGCAATAAGGAAGTGGAGGATCCGACGACAGCTTCTAGGAACGAAGGTATGGTCGAATCTTGGCTATGTTCTTCGTCTGACCAACGAACATGAGAAACCAAAAAAGAAGATAAAAAGGAAATTCTATATCTATGCGGTTGAAGCTAATCAAATTAAAATCGTTACAAGTATAGGCAATACACGATGAAAGATTTGATCTTGCATGATGAGCGGATATCGATGGTATTATTTTGGCTCTTGGGTTAGGGATGAGACCATATATGTTCGCATGCATTTAATTATTCTCTGGATCGGAACAACAATTTGACATCTTTGTGGGTTTTGTTGGTGATCGATCTTGGATTATATATTTCTTTTAGTTCTTCCATAAACTCGTGTTGGTGGGTATTGGTTAGCCTTGATCGCGTGGATAATTTACATGCAAAAAAAATAATAATAATAAAAATAATGCGTAGTAGTTGTGCACCAGAGACTGGCTGTGGACATATATTCTGGAAACATGCAGTGAGCAAAACGAGATGTATATACATATTTATTATCGACACATATATGTGCAGGGTCAAAAGCAACATGTCAACTCTCGGGATTTGGTAATTTCTTTTGAAATTTTTATTATGATATATTTATTATGGGGACATTTGGTATTTTTAAAAAAATTTATACATAAATTAAAAAAATCTAATTAGGTAATTGGGGGGCATGTGACCCATTAACATGTAAATGGATCCGCCCATTATTTGTCTTGTATGTTGCTAACCATTACCTACCTCTATTTTTAATATTTTCAAGTACATAAAATGTTTTCGTTCATTTTTATATTTGGGATTTTGCGGTGCAAGTAGTAACGAAGGGCACAAAGGCTGTCTGAAAACGCATTTGTCGAGTGACACGCAGAGCATAAAAAAGGTCTGCTTGGATCGTCATTATGGGAATGCAACCATAAAGTTTTTTTCCCCTCTAATTAAATTTAATTGGTATTAGATACATGTATTCGCTTTCTCTGATCTTCGCTTTCTAACAATTTGAAAAATACTTTACAAAAAAAAAAACAACTTGAAAAATATATAACGAATGATGGAAAGCGCAATCTTTTAGAATCAAATCTACATCAAAGCTTTTATTTCATCATAGGGATTTGGTGACAAAGAGTTATTTGTTTGTTTCTGTGGATAGAATTCAAATGATTTGCTACATGATTTTAGGAGGTTTAGATTTGGGACCAGTCACGCCAAAAGCAAGGCATAACAACATAAGCCACACACACACACACACACACATATATATATATATATATTCACAAATCACAATTATAGAAATGTACATATACATATATATATATATATATATTCAGAAAATCAAACCTATATTATAACCTAAAGTCGAAACATATATTGGTAACATGTTTCGAGCACAAAAACGAGGAAGATAGTGATGGTGATGATGAGGAAGATGGTAATGGTGGCCCGTTGTCAGGCCACATGACATTAGTTAGCTATTGCAGCAATGATGGGTTCCAATACATTCATAAACCCATTTTAAAGGATGTGACCGATGCCTACTAATCTTATTGGTAATGCTCTATATTTCGTCAAATAACCAACATTTCTCTTGAATTCACATCACCAAATCTTCCCTCTCTTTCCTTTTTAAAAGTCAAATTTGAGAGCATTTCGCATAATGGGTGCGTTTCAAAATTTGAATTCCGAAGAATATTTAAATAAAACGAAAGGCAAAAGTTCGAGACTCTCTCTCTCATGGCTTTACAGTGAAGTTATTATCAGATCTAACTACTATCCAACCAAAAGTCTTATCAAACCATTCCATTGGATTCCCCTTGTCGTTGAGACATCTAAAACGACTATCCCGACCAACCAACAGTTCACGCATGCATGCATGCATGCAAGTTTGTCACGTATGTGAAGGATTGAACATAAATGTATTAAGATGGATGCCTTTATTTTGTTTGTTCCCTAATCGATATTTTTTTTATGCAGTGGTATAAGATATGTACTTACCCCAAAAAAAAAAGGAGACATCCATGATCACTAGCTAGGTTTTCTGAATTATCAACTTTATACAATTTGTGCATAATAATGATAAAAAATAGTAATACACGATGACGTGGATTCCAAAAGAAATTAGACAAGATGCCAAAAGATAAAAGCAGAGAATGAGCTTAATACATACAGGCTTCTAGTTCTAGACACGGGGTTAGCTTATAGCTTTCGTAGACTTCTCATTTGAATTTTTGGGATTGGTTTTAAAAAAAGTAACCCGGAAGGTGAAATTAGTTGCGTGAGATAGTGATGATGCCTAGGAGATGGGCAGTGAAGCGGACTGGACCATGCTAATAACCTCAGAAACACACACAAAAGAACGCTGAGACATAATTGTTTCTTTTTCTCTGTCATAAGGGCACACCCGAAATGTTACAAATGAATTGAATCACTACAAATAATAACCCCAAAAATCCAAAAGAGAGAGAGAATTCATTCATGTAACGGTGGCAAACTATACTATATACACTGGCTTTATAAATACACATCACGTTACACACTTAGAAAAGGGGGAAAGGAGGTTTTGCCAACATTCTCATCTTTTTCTTTCGTCCTAACAGAAAAATCCACCCAAAAAAGGGAGAGGAAAGAGGTGTGGGGTTTTAACTTACTTGTTAGACCACTGGAATTCAATCTCGAGGTTCCTGGGTCCGCTTTTGCTCTCCGGCAACAAAGTGTATTCCCCTGCCACCGCTCCCAGCATCACCACCCGATCGATCTGTATCGTTACTTTCCCAAACGAGCTCTGTTTTTTTTTTAATAAATTCAGTCACGGATGGAGGAGAAGAAAGAAACATATTTGAAAGCATGAATGTGATATTGAGTTTGTTTTTCTGATTGATTACCTTTCCCATTTTGCTTTTGTTTTTGCATGAGATGTGAAGTTTCTGGCCTTTTGGAGGACTCTCGAATGACCAGACGAAGCTCTCGTCCCATTCTGGGTTAGGACCCGTCGAGACCACCTGGTAACAGAAAGAGCGCAACAGTGAAAAAGAATGTCAGTGTCATCGACAGGCCGGGCCCCCAAGAACCATATCCTAAGTAAAGCTCACATATACGTAACCACCAGGGGAGGATATTCAACCGAAACCCAACTACATGACCGACTCGAATCCTTACGATTTTCCTAAAACCAAATATAAAAATAACCGAAAAAAAATCTTTGGAAAACGATCACTTTTATCATTAAAAACCGAAACCGAATCAAATGTAATATAAAAACCGAATTGATATAGGTTTTCTAAAACCGATCCCGAACCGAAAACCGAAATGTCCAACTACTAGTAATTACATATTCCTGGACTCGGAAACAATGATAAAAAGAATGAGAATTTACCTTGGTTTGCCTAGGAGGAGTGTTGCCGAGGGTGAGCTTGCAATAAACGCTAGGGTTTCCGACCGATTGCTTCATGTTGTTTCCGCGCTTGATGGTCACCACTAGAGTTCCTGGAAGACATTGGAGGAGGAACTCGGCTTTCTCCTGAAACCTTGGCGGACCAGACTGTATAAGGTATTGTAATAACGGGATGGCATCGGCGGCAGCAACTGACTGTGCCCTGGAAACTTCAGCTGGACAAGCTGTCCACGCTTGTCTTAGAAGGAACAATGCGTCCAAGGCTGCCTCTTGAGTTGATTCTGATCCTGTTTTGAGTGACGTCACTAGATGCGGTATACTTAGTGTCGCGGGCTCCGTGGCTCTTAGACGCGGGAAATTGTTGAACAGAGCGTTTAGAGCTTTTAGATACTCCTCATTCACTGTCCCCGTTGCCCATAAGTCCTTCTCGATTGCAGCTGCACATTCAACAGAAGCATTATGGAAGATATAAAACGATTTTTCTTTACTGATAAGACAGAATTAGTGTGGTAAATTTGGTTAATAGCCGAATAATCAAACCCTAATACATAACCGTAACAAACCGAATCCGATATTAAAACCGAATCGTTATGATTTCTTAAAACCGGAAAACTGAATTTCTTTGAAAAACGAGTTTTATCAGTAAAACTGAATCCGAACCAAAATAAAACTAAACCAAACCAAACTGAATTCAATCTAAAAACCGAATGGTTATAGTTTTTCTAATATCCAAATAACAGAACCAAATCTAACCTAAAGAATCACAAAATGGCCAACCCTAGACAAAAACAAGTAGAAAGAACACAACTCGAAAAGAGGATGTGGTCGAGATCTCACCAGTTATTGCCCTAACAGTCTCGCTGGATGCGTATTCTTGAATGGTGTGATTAGAGAAGAGAAGTTTAACAAACATTGCGGCCTGAATAGATGTCTCAGGGTCGCTGGAACCAATCAGATCCAAGACAACCTGGACACCACCTGCCTCGGCAACAGCCCTTTTGTTGGACCGGCTATACATAACGAGGTTCTGCAGAGCGCATATGGCCACCACTTTCATTTCTTCCGTGGGTTGTTCTTCAAGGACATTGACCAGTGCCCGGCAAGCAGAAGCAGCGTCAGAGCTTCGAGCTAGGGTTTCGTTCTGGAAGATATCGCCGAGGGCCAGAGTTGCCAGTAACCGTGCTTGCTGAGCCTGGGTCTGCGGGTCCAAGAGATACTGGGACAAGGGCAAAATGGCTGTTTTCGTGGCTTTCGATTCTCTAATCTTGACATTGTTGAGAAGTGCCTCGAGCAATCTTGCAGCCGTGTCCTCGCACTGGTGAGACCTTAGAAGATCAAGGAGAGCCTCTATGGCGCCGCTTTCAGCCATTGCTTCGGCACTTGTCCCATCGTCACTTTCCAGCACTAGAAGAGCATTTAGTGCACCGACCACTGTGTTTTCCGAGGCCGAGCGGAGGAGTCTTACGAGAACGGCGACGGGGACTTCAAGATAAAATTCGGAGCTGAACTGCAAAATGATCACCAGAACCGATGCTGCCGATTCCCACAACATGTTGGAAAGAGATGGATCGGCTTGCAGTATGACCTTGGAAAGCTCGCTGACACCACCCTCTTTAGCTATTTCATTTGGCCACGTTAGAGCGATGCTAACGAGAGCTTTCACAGCTCTCTGCTGCAATATGTGTATGCCGGATCCAAGAACACGGATTAATGGACCGATTACATGCTGTGTCAATGGATCTTTCTGTAGATGCTCCTCCAAGACCAGATGAGACAAAAGCTCAGCTGCCAGCTGCTGTACGGCTGGAACTGAAGAATCGAGCAACGGAATTAGCGGCTCAATTGTTTGGTGCGGAGAAAGATTGTAATCAGCTCGGCACTGTGGATGCTCGAGGATATTTACGAGAACTTGCAACACACTGTGCTGTCCATCGGGGCTGAATTCCGGTCTTGTCAACAAGAAGAAAAGTGGCTCAACCACTTTGGCAGCTGATGGTCCCTTAGCAATAGTAGCATTATTTGTAAGAATACGGAGCAGTTCCGAAAAGGCAGCACAGAGAAAATCCGGTGCTTCGTGGAGTATATCGAGTATGCAATCGATAACTCCGACTTTCACCATTTCCAGTTTACAACCAGGCCTGTCCTTGCCTAACTTCACTAAAGCCCTGGATATAGCCTCGTGAAGAGCGTAATTCCTACCATAGAGAAGGCCGACGAGAGGAACTACTGCACCATGGGCAGCGACAAGTTCAGCCAATTGTTCATCATCAACAAGCTTGTCCAGTGCCCGTACAACTGAATGCTGAGCCGGGCTGAACTCGGTTACAAGGAGAGACACCAATGGCTCAACACATCGAGCTGCAGCAACTGTAGACCTAATCCTTGTATTCGCGAAAAGAACGTAACACAATTCCGCCGCATCACCCTTCAGTTCCATCGAACAGTTTGAAGAGAGGATCCTGCAGAGAACATCCACGGCATTCATCTCCACATCCGCGACAGCCAGCGCTCGTGATGGATTGTCGCTCAACAGCCGAACGAGCGCAGCAATAGCAGCATGTTGCTCTCTTTCTAGACCAGTGTTGAGAATCTCTACCAATGGTTGAACAGCTTGTCTAGCTGACTCTGCATTCCTTATATGGTCGGCAGAAAACAGGCTCTCCAATGCCTTGGCAGCACTGTACCTTGCACGCCTTCGACCTAAACGTAAAACTGCTACAAGTTGACTGACTGCGCCAAATGCCGACTCGTGTCTTCGGATTTCAGCACTGCTAAATAGGATGCCCAAAAGATCGGTTGCAGCTTCCTCTTGTTCATCCTGTGGGCCGAGAGAAAGATATTTTGTGAGGCCTTCTAGGGCACCTGATTCCACCATGACAATCATGTTTTGCGGACAGTCTCTGGCAAGCTGAGTTAGAATATTAAGTGCAAGTTGTGGAGCACCAGGCCGGTCTGGAATCGGCTTTAGTAGATCAACTAACAAGGGAATCGCTTTTCGAGAAGTAGCTCCAACTCTAATATCTTCAACCCGAAAGAGCCTCTCCAGGGCAATCTGGTCCGGGTAACGCTCTAATCTGAACTCCTCTGACAACTGTAGAAGGTCTTTTATGTCAACATCAGCACATCCAAGTAAGGTTATAAGCCCAACTGCTGCACCGGAATTCGCAACAGACAGGAGAGTTCCCCTACTGCCATTACAGACAAGACTGGCTACTGCTTGGGCAGAAAAATATCTGTCTGCTGTTTCCTCTGACTTCAACAAATTTGAGAGCACTGTAATGGCCTTCATTGCTGCATTTGCTCGAATGATCTCTCTATCTTGGAAAAGAATGGCTAGCAGTAATGCGCTGACCCATATGCTGCTATCTTCTCCATAATCAATCTGGAAAAAATACTCCCAAGTATTAGCATTTATGCACTATGTGGTAATTTAGGTCTCCCCAAAATGAGTAGGAAATACATTAAACTCTACTTAGAATTTTAACATGTGATTTGTAATTAACATTCTTAACAAGATGGGATCTGAAATAAGTGTCTTGTGCAAGAGAGTTGAATACCTGGGTGAATCGGAGATAACTGTTGCTGATTCTGTCAGTAAGTAGTTCAATTCCTTCTGACTCCATTATAACAATCCTACTCTTTTCATCGTGACAAGCAAGTACCGAGAGCAACCAGATGGCTAGATTGTCACCCGAAATAGCTGCTGCCCCCTTGTGACCCTCCCTATTTCTTGCTGTTTCTTCTTCCTCTTCTTTTTCTCCTACTTCTTCTTCTCCTTCATGTTTAGAATGTATATATATACATATATCTTCTCGGCCATCCTTTTCCTGGTCTCGCACAGAAGTCTGAGATGAATTTATTATTTCCACAAGTGCTTGAACGAGGTTGGTACACACATGTAACTCATTAAGATCTTCCACCACCTTCCGCTGATTAACTTTTGCAGCACAGATGATAACAGCAGCTCCGCCAATTCTTATTTTAGGGTTTCCGGAATTGATTACTCTTTTAGCTACACACGGTACGCAACCAGCGGCATTGCTGACCATGTTCCCCAAAACCAGAGGCTGATCCTGACAAACTCTTGACAACACTTCAATAGCTTTGTCCTGTAATAAGGGATTGACAGAACTAACGATAGACGAAACTATTGGGGCCATACAATTGGGAGATTCAGCCAGAACTGCCCAAGCTGGTTTGACATTCCCCATAGCTCTCGACTTTGACAAAATAGCAAGTGCATCTAGTGCCTCCGATATTGCATCAGGTGTTCCATTGGCAGTCTCTAGAAGAGAAACAAGGGAAAGAACTGTTCCAGCACGGTTCACTGAATCTGTCAATGCAGAATCAATCTGGTGCCGACCAAGGAGGCGAGCAATCGCTGCGGCGGCAAGGGTTTTTCCAGACACTGTCCCTTCACGTAAAACCCTCGTGGCTGGCAAAATAATTTCTTCGGCAATGACTTTCTCCGATACTTCACTGTCCAGCATAAGATTGGCCAATGCGCACATTCCCTGCTCAGCAACCTCCAGAGCAGAGGAGTTAGCAAGAGAAACCAGTGCAGGCAATGTCTCTCTAGCAACAGCGGCAACATCGCGGCTCTCTTTAATTGAAAGGAAAATAGCAGCAAGACAACGAGAGGACTCAACTAAGATCTTCTCAGATTCCACATTCAAAAGTTTTACGGCCGAGGAAAGAGCTTTGAGGGCTAGAACACTCTCACGCAGATCCTTTCTGCTTTGGAAAATGGCAGCAAGAGCTGACGCAGAATTAGCTTGAGTCTCTTCCTTTATCGAGCTCATCAACTTGATCACGGTCTCAATAGCATCATTTGCAGCACTGCCTTCACGTAACAGGTCATTCAGTGGCACCACTGAGAGCATACTTTTCAATGCGTCCAAAACATAAATCTTGGACTCAGGCAGATCACTGGACAGTAGAGCAGTAAGCTGACTGATAGTTGCAGTATCCGACTTATGAATCAAATGATTCAATGTTTTGGCCGCAATTTCTTTCCCATTTGGACTACCATTCTTTAGCAACCATAGCAGAGCAGGGACAGCATCGGCACTTTCAACACAAGCTCGTATATCTTCGCTGTGATTGCACAAGTTTCTAAGGATCGTTGCAGAGTCTTCTCGTGCTTTGGCAGAACCTGTCTCCAAAATCTGAACAAGCGGAGGTATACCCCCAGCAGCAGTAATGGCCCATTTACTTTCATCATTTTCATTAGACAAAAGGCAAAGAAGTCCGACTGCACATTCTTGCTGTTGTTCTGATGAAAGTCCCAGAAGAGATATCAACAACTGAATTCCCTCACGGCCCTGGAGTGCATGCCACAAGCTACCTTCTTGGTTACACAGTGTCAGAAGAGCCTTTATGAGCTCATCCTGAACCTCATTCGTTGCCATAGTTATAAGACCAACGAGCAAACGTTTTGCATCTGAGCTGGAGAGTTTAACAGTGAGTATGGAATTCCCATACAAACTTGCAAGAGCTTCTATGGTACGTTCTTGCACAAGGAACGGCAGACGAGGCTTCAACTGCTTAATCAGAGTCTGCTCGATGACCATCGGATCTGAGGCCCTGGTAGATTCTGCTTTTCCATCATATATCATCAAGGCTGAAGCTAATGCCCCAAGAGTGTCAGCGGTCTGTGCAGGCGAGGAACAAGATTCAAGGCTTTGACCAAGGCTCGATATCACATACGACAAACCACCGGAGATATTGGCAAGGGCACACATTGCATTCTCTTGCAGTGCTTGTGCATGTTCACCTTGCATGAATTCTTTCGACGGAGCTATTGTTGCATTTATCAAAGCAGGAATACCATTAGAATTAGAGATTTCTTTCCTTGCTTCCTTAGACTGAGCAGAAAGAGACTTGAGAGCACCAGCGGCTTCTGCCCTCACCGAGGCTTCGTTACCTGATCCTAATAATTTGAGAAGCTGTTTTGTAATGTCTGCAGTCAATACACTAGTACACACAGACGCATCCTCCATCATCATGCAAGCAAGAAGGAAACACACATTAGATAGTGTGCTCGACTTCCCACTTGCAAGCAGCTTCACAAGTACATCCACCCCTCCAGCTCGAACTGTCTCAGACCAAAATCCCTCGGTGGTGCTAGAAAGGTTCTTTAAAGCACCAGTTAACAAACCATCGACCAGATCTCCCTTCTTGCTTCCACTACTCAGTTGTCCCCACAAAACTGGTACAACTCCTTCAGTTGAAAAAATCTTTGATCCAACATGGTCCTTCACCCCACCTTCGGAAACAGCATAGATTGTTTTTGCTGCAGCAATCTGTCCCTCAACTGAATTGGACTTCAGAAGACCAAGCAAAGGGGGAATGCATCCCCCAAGTAACACTTTCACTCTAAGTTCATTCTCCTTGCAAAGTGAACCCAAAACAGTTGCGGCATGTATCTTCACTCCAAGTGATCCCGATCGAAGGAGAGAAACAAGTACTGGCACAGCTTGGGAGTGCGATCCAACAGCACTGAAAGCATTTTCACGTGTATCTATAAGTTCTAACAACTGCTTCAGAGAATACTCTCTTTCTTGCGCAGATGATGAACTTTGGCGCAACTGCTCAATGCATTGGGCAACACTAGCCAGTGTCCCATCAGGATCCTCCATGCTGTTTGTGCGCTCTCTGCAGATAGTGGACAATGTTAGATACTAAGCTACTAAGAGGAAGGTCTTGTACGCTTAAAAGATGTCATCTTTTACTTGAAAGGACCTAGAGGAAACAAATTCAGATGAATACTTTATCATCAAAAGCCACTATGTACTTATAGAAGGAATTTCAAGGAAGAGATTGTCACTTGGAGAAACAGGGAAAAAAGAAAGAATAGGACATAATTATTAAACAATCTGTTACTGTTAAACAAAGGTTACACGGCAAATAAACCAAAGTTGCCTAGTTTTTTCAGATGGAAACATTCAGCTCCCATGCAGTACAGAATATATTTTCTCATTACCTCAAACCCATCCTTGCGCTTGAATGTGGAGTAGGGGGCTCTGAATCTTGAATTTTCATATCCCCATTTCTCTCCTGTAATCATGAGAGGGAAACACAGAATAAGTTGAAAAAGACAAGAAAGATTGGATGAATAACCTTCAACTGTGGCAGCAATAACCTGTAAGACTATTGTCCTACATCTCAACAGTCTATGAATTTTGACTTTTAACATGTTGGAACGAGGCCGGTTCTTAATATCGCTGAACCATAATGAAGAAAAAACAGTCGTTTTAGAGGAAAGAACCCAATTGAATTAATCATAACTTCAAAATCCTATCCAAATTCAAGAAACAAATCAGCTTAGTCATTTGCCAGATGCACCGGAAAAGCTTGTGCACCACAACAACAAGCCAGATCTGACTTTGCAGAAGGATAGTGAAGCAAAGCTGCTATCTTAAGCTCGCATCTTAAACCAACAATGAACTTTATTATAAATTCTTAGGGTGATGCTCATCATATTATTCACTCAACCTAACGCCTAGACAGCAAAATCAGGGAGAAAAAGAAATTAAAAAAACTACAGTTTCATTTGGGGCAAGGCCATTGCCATTGGCAGATGAAAATCTCCATCCGAGTGCAGTTGCCATATTTTGTTTCGGCTTCAAAATTCTCAAAACAAAGTAGACCCAGACACCTTGCCCCTATCCAGATCTACCCTGGAGGCGATCGTTAGAACATCAAAGCCCCTGCAGAAACACAACAACAGAATTCAAATTACGACGCCACACATCATACAATCTGAGATCAGACAAGAGGCGGAATCCGGTTCCTCAGAATCCAATCCGACCAGATACAGATAAGAAGAACTGAACAATATTGCATTTGGAGATTATAACCTCAATAGATTAAGTTCACTCCACTAAACTAGAGTAGAAGCAAAACCGAGTACCGCAATTGAAATTTTGAAAACAGTTAATTTCTTCACAAAATCTGAACACGGTTAGCATGCACTGAAATCTAAACTCTCCGGATTTCAACACAAAGAGCCCAATGAACGCGGCCACTAAAATCGTGCCAAAATTGGACCGAACTGAACTGAAAGCTATCGAGAAAGCGGATAACGGGATGTCGATATGTACCCAGTCCGAATACAGGCCGAAAAGTGAAAAAGAATACAGAAGTCAAATCGGACAGAATCTAAGGAAAAATAGAGCTAGATCTCGGACCTCGGATCTCGCATCTGAAGCCGCATCAACAATTTTAGTGTAGGCGAAATCTTCGGGATCCGATACCAACATTACATGCAGAAAGGGATAGATAGATCGACAGAAGGAGAAAACCGAACTGACCTCAAGGAGAAGGCGAGACGACGAAGGGTGAAGAAGAAGCACAATCAGTGCTGCATTTGTCTGTTTCGTAGAAGAGAAGCGAACCTGACGAGAGATTGAACTTTGACTTGACGAGTAGAGAGAGAGAGAGCTGTGCGTGGGCTGGTGAGAGACTGTTATCGGATTGGAGCCGAACTGGACCACCGACAACAAGGACGAGAGAACTTCACGACTCCCTAATCAGCTCGGCTCGGCTTAAACGACTCGGCTGAATGTGGAGATTTTGCAAAACGGTTTCTCATTTTTTTTATCTAACTTATGATTTTATGTGAATTATTATTTAGTAAAAAATGAATATAATTTTTAAGATATAGATATTTGTTCTATAAATTACATATAATATATTTTTCAAAATTTATCATAAAATATATTTATAATATTATATAATTATTTTTTATATTTCAACACAAATTTATGGATATTTAATTATGTATTCCTTTTATGGTGAACCAACCAAATATGAATATTTGAATCTTGAATAAAGCGAAAATTACACAAGTACAATTATATTCTACTAATATCAGAATTAGTAATTATATATTTTTAATATCAAAATCAGTGTTTAAATTATATGTTACTTTTGTAATTATATTTTAAATTTTTTGTTTGTTTTAGAAGTTATATCAATTATCCAATGTGGATATTTTCTGCGCTGTGATAAATTTAGAAAATGACAACTAGGCGTGGTATTTGCACTTCTTTTTCCTTTGAATTTTCAGGAAGAAATATTCCTTTGAAAAAATAGGAAATAGCAGAGATTTTGTTTTTGTGAATGTTATCAGAAGAGGCTCTCGCGGCTTGGAAATGAAGTCTAGCGAAAGACAACCCATCCGTCTTCTCTCTCTCTCTCTCTCTCTCTCTCTCTCCTAGTTGGCTGCAAAATGTGACCCATTATTGATTTTTTTTTTATGGATTTTTGTGTGTGTGTCAGAAAATCATCCAACAAAGCTTATTTATATCTTACGTAATTTCCTCCCTCGTGAAGTAAATAACACTATTAACAAACAAAAATAATAAACATTTCGGAGAAATATTAACAACAACAATTAATAATAATAATCAGAGATGTCTCAGATGCCGGTTGGGTTCTTTTTTAATACAGCATTGCAAAACTCATCAGTTACATTAAATCATTGGTTTTTAATGCAAAACCCTTCTTGATAATAACAAGAATGACAATAGTCTTGGGCTGAATAGAGTTTCGATCTTGATGCAACAAACCAGATTCTTCTCCTCCAAAGAATACGATTTTTTTTTTTTTGTAAAAAAAGAAAAGACCAATTGCATGGAACTGTAATAAAATAGAGAGAATTTAGGAACAAAAGGAAGGAAGATGCTCTAACTAATAATGTCGTGAGAGAGAAACACCAATGATTCATCGAATCACATGCACATGGTCATCTGCTGAATCATTTTATTCTCGTTTCTATTATTGTATTTTCGGATATCCGATCTTATGGGTATCGGATATCTCATAGGTATCCTATCCGACGAAGTCGAAGATGAATGCAACAAGATCAAGAGTCGGAATTACAAGTTCGGATTCAGATTTTTCCGAATCATGACAAATTACCAAACAGTTATATTTTCGGATATTCGATCTCATGGGTATCCCACGGGGTCAATTTATTTTTAGCTAGTTTATCATTAAGAATCAAAGGTGAGTGTTGGTCCAAAGACCGAGTATATATTGCGAGAAAAAGGTAGAGATATCAAGATCTGTAAGGTTTAGTATCGCTTAAGAAGGGGAATGTACAATCCATAATACAATGGGCTGAATCAGAGAAGGCCGAGCGTTTTAAGCTGGTGAACATGCTCGGCCGGCAGAGGTGGAGGCGACCATTCCGATCCCGTCGTCTCTCCGTCTACATCCTCAACCACGTATTCCTGTTGGTATTAATCATTATGAAGGAAATTCAGCCGCCAATGTTAAACTTGTAAGGAAAAAAGATTGATCATACGGTTGAAGACTGCTACTGCTACTGCTACTGCTACATATAAGATTATTCTCAATGACCTGGAAGGAGGGGGCAAAAACCATCCCTGATAAGCTGATTTCATCTTAAAAAGCAGGTGGAAAGAAAGGACGGAGCTTTTTTTTTCTTCGGATAATTTCTAAACATCCGATATGTTAAAGGTTATCAGCTATCTTAACATCCTAAGCTGACTTATAAATCAAGAAAGATTACTAAGTGGCCAGCATCTCTAAGCAGGTGAACTTGGCTAACAAAGCTAGAACTAACGGGTGTTCATAAGCAATCTTTGGCACTAGCTTGGAAAGAGAAAAGCTTGAAATCTACGGCAAAAACTCACCTTTGTTAGCATTCTTTTCGCCAGTATGTGGTAATGGCGCTGCCAAATGCGCTGTCCAACCATGGTGGCCACTAATACACTGTAGAATATGCCGATTACGGTAAATAGACCTAGAACTATCAATGCCATAATGAAGAGCAATGGCAATCCGGCCTCCCCAGCACCTCCTATACAGCCACCACATTCACTGGCTGCACTGGCACATCCTTCAAAGCATGCGGTGCAGTCGGTCCACATGCAAAGAGTTCCCGGTAGGTGACAGTCAGCGCATATCCTGCAAGAGAATAAGTCCAATCCAATTACACAATGAATAACTCCAAATCAAACCCATAATCATGCGACACTTAGAGATATCTGCAAATCGATTAAATTCACATTTACATATCATCTCATTTGGTCTTGATAATATCTGTAGTAGGAAGCTTATTGGTAGCTCAGAAAACAAAGAACCAAGATTCTTTAAACAATTAAATCATTCTAATATCCCAATTCTGTCCTGCACCAAAGAACTACCTTACAAATGAAACGATATAACCTGTCAACAGCAGGTACAAGTAGAACAAACTCATGGGTGCGATCGGGCAGCCCTTAAACCCGTACCTATGGACATCCAATTGGTGAGTAAAATCCAGAAGCTTGCCTCTTACCCCAAAAAAAAATATTAATCCATCTAAAGACTGTCTTTGTTTACAATAATTTTTATATAACTAAGTTTCCTCTTCGAAACAAACTTTCTTCTTTCATCATTCCAAAAAAATCCTACAATAAACCATCCAATCCTTTCCCCAGGGATCCCGATTTTAATCCATAAAGCTTCCTGATATGACTAAATAATACACACTAACTCGAGACCAGAAAAAGGAAAAAGCGCACAAAAACAGCAGGTTAAGGAGGGACAGATCCACACAGGAAGATACCAGTAATCTCGCCCGTAACCAAACGAAACTAAATAAATAAAACGGAAATCAAGGTTTACAGTTATACCCAGGGTGACAGCAGCAGAGACATAATTCTCGACAAGGCTGAGCTAAGTCATTCCGAACTCTTCGATCATAACAAGTTATGAAGCATCCAGATAGACCCAGCAAAGCAAAGAACAACAAAGCTCCTGAGCAATAACAAGTATCGTCATGTGAATGTTCTAAAAGAGTAGATATAGTTAAATAATCATTTTGGCGGACTTTTGTTAAAATATGAAATTTCGGGAGGGGATATATTAAATACAGAACAATAATTATCAAAAACTTAATTTGGAAATTCTCGTTGCTGTTCAATATCCTGCATGGTATTTTGTTAGTGCATGATTAACCCTCCCAATCTTTTGATCTAAGCCAAAAGGATTAACTAAGCCTACTTACTTCCCTTCTAACAATGTGGACAGGAATACAGAAAAGAGTATGGATGGCTACATTACATCATCAAAGAGAAAACTCCTTCAAACAGAAGCACAAATTCCTGATCAAAATTAACTTGGATGTGTGCACAGTACCAAACCCAGCATTTTCCATGCCTATAGTTAACGGCAGAAAATGTACCCTACCGCCGAAAATTGGCACAGATGGCAAAATTCAAATTATCCATACAGAGATGTGGGAGCATATTGAACACTACAGGAGTTCTTGGGATCATACCACACATGTAATAAAACGTGACCTCACTGTCAAAACCCCAGATATGACGAAGCCATGATTGTTGGTAACCATCTACAAAATAGACCAAGTAGCCCAGTGCAGCAATTACCTGAGAGAGGAAGAAGTCATTTAGGAAACCTGAATCAGATGTATAAGCAAATGCTGAAATCAAAGAAAAAAACAAGAACCCAGATGAAGAATGAGACATTACAAGTTGAACCGCAAGAAATATGGATAAAATATCTCGAGTAACAAAGAACCGAAACTTCATTGTCCGCCATTTCCTATCTGCAGCACCATGAACTCTCAGATAATATGGGGCCTTGCAGGTTGTGCAGTGTGCAAATGCAAACCCTTCCTGAAATCAAATGATATTATTGCTGCATTACTATTTGTTATTCATGATAAATCCTAGGATCGCTGGAGATTATCATTTCATAAATTGGCAAGACCTTATTAAGTTAAGAAAGCTACCCATGTACCACTGGAAAAGAACGAATGTAATCATTACTCATGAATCATGTTGACAATGACATATATACCAAGTCGAAAGCATAGGCATAAATCATTCATCATTCTGAAACCAGGCGTATGCATATCCTATTTATGACTCCCAAGTATTTTTTTTTCCTCATGCAACAAAAGCGCAATTCGGCAACTTTTACACTACAGGGGCCTTCCTTCCAGCACCTTAATATAAAAAGCCCATCACCAAAAGAAAAGAAAACTACGCAGGTATTTCATATTTGAAACCACGCAAATACAACAGGTATTCACTTAAGAATGCCAATCCAATCCATAAACCTGGGTCAGAATTGAGATAAAATTTAAATTCTATACCTTCACAGCTCTCCAATGATCCAAACATTCCCGATGTACATACTTTGACGTTCCTTTGCATTTACATGGAGCTATGAAATCCCTACCTGAAACAAACAAACAAACAGAATGCCACCACCAAAAGCAGCATGATGTGAAATCGAATTCGCTAGCCATTTCTCTTTCTTCACGATCATTAATCACTCAAAACTAAAAATCGGTGCATCAAATTTCGTTTACCAGCTAGAAGAATTACTTAAGCATATCAATCATGAGTATTAGCACCCAACCCAATAAACCTCAACTGTATTTATATGATATACAACCAGACATAATGGCCCGAATTCATAAAATTTCGTTAATTTATGAGCACTAGAAAGGCCAAAAATAAAAAACCCCATCAGAAAAGGACAGGACCCAATTGAGGATTACCCGCAAAGGGGATGTGAATCAGTGGAAAAACTACAAGGCAGTGAAATCAAGACGGAAAGTAATCTAGGGTTTCAGTGAATACCATCAGTTTCAAGGCAAATTCGACACTGAATCTGTTCACCGGGCCCCGCTTCGAGATCGATCTCACTCGGCTCCGCCATTGGCAACGGCGGCACCAGAGGCGACGACTCCGATTGGTCAGTCATCCCTAATCTGAGAAATACCCAGAGAGAGAGAGAGAGAGGAAGCTTCGATCAGATTCTGTTTTGGGCGTTGTTGGGTTGGTTGGTACAAGGAGAAAAGTGAGATGACCCGGCACCGGTTCTTTTGCCGGCAGAGGAAAGTGCTCTTTATTCTTTATATGTGATTTTACGTTTATGTCCTCCGACCTTCGTCGAATACACGTGTTATCACAAGTTGAAATGATCTTAAGATGGGCTTTGTATTAAGAAGGCCTCTCATAATCTAAATATGGGCTTTTGGGCTTTCCACGTTTTCGTGATTTCAATTCGTTCTCATGTTTTTGCTAAAAATACGATCAAATTTGTCCGTTAATTATTTCAATCATTGTTTGTTTCATACCATTGGGAATTCACAGTTTTGTTTATTCTTTTTTCTAATCTCATTGATTAATTATGTATATATGTGTGTGTAATATGCAAGAATCCAATCCAATGTTTTAGTATTAGAATGGTTTGGTTTACTTTGGTTTAGTTCGGTTAGGGTTTATTAGGGTTTCTTCTTCTATTGTATTTAAGGAACACTTTTCTTATTTTGTAAAGATAACAGAGAACTTTCTCTAAATCCTTCTTCTTCATCTTCCTATTACTACTTTCTTTTTAATCTCTATCTCTGCAACTCTATCTTATTTCAATGGCTTTTGATGTTTTTATCAAAAGTTGATATGGTATCAGAGCTATAACTTTGCTTCCGCATTTTTGTTTTTTTTTCATCCATAGTTTTTTTTCCCTAATTGTTTCTACGCCATGGTCATGGCTTTCTGTGTTTCAGTCTTTGCACACCAAAATCACTCCTCTCATGATTCTCCATCTTTCTTAGATTTTTGTTATGGCTACAACAGCTCATTTTTCTTTAATCTTCTTTCACTCTATTCTCATATCGTGAAAAACGAATCTTTCTCTGATGTTACCCATCTTCTTCTTCATATGATATATGGTGTTTTGCTTCTGCTTCTACATTTCTCTTTTCTTCCGTTTGTCATCTTCCTCTTTATATGTTCTTCTTTCATAAACCTTTGATTTTTAGATAAATATAAAAAAATCCACGTACAAAAAATAAAAAGAAATGTTCGAGCCCGGTTCGAACCGGGGACCTCTAGTGTGAGACTAACGTGATAACCTACTACACCACCCGGACGATGCTTTCGATGTTGACTATGTATGAAAATGAGCAACAAACAGTTACAAGACGTCGCCGTCACCGTCAATCATGGTGAAAGCCAAAGACAAGGGGAAGAAGAAGAAGAAACACAGCAAGTCCGAGGAGAAGCTCAAGAGCGAGGTGAAGGAGAAGAAAATCTCTAAGAAGCACAAACACAAATCCGAAAATCCCGCAATACCCGTGAAGAATGATAAACGCAAGAAGAAACACAAGAAACCAGAGAAATTCGAAGTGCCCAAGACCTACTTACCCGCTCGGGCCGCTCCTTCCAATCCTTATTCCACTCCAACCCCAATTGCTAAAAATGTGTCCGAGTACGGTCCTGAAGACCTCAGAAAGATTTTGAAATCCTACTCGAAGGAAGAGCTTATCGATCTCATATGCAGGAACGCCGAGAAGGGTTGTCGGTTAATCTCCGCCGTCCATGAGTCGGCGGTCGCTCAGCGGCAGATATTCGTGCGTGGTCTCGGACGGGATACGACGCGTGAGAGACTCGAGACGGCTTTCGAACCCTACGGGGAGATAGAGAAGTGCATCGTGGTCACGGATAAAAAGGGCAAAACCAAAGGATACGGCTTCGTCCTGTTCAAGACGCTTAAGGGCGCGAGAAAGGCACTGAAAAGTCCGGAGAAGAAGGTGCATAATCGCACCGTGGTCTGCCGTGTGGCGTTGGGGAGGCCGTCTGGGGATGGGAAAGGGCGGGAGGGGGTTGAACAGGTGAAGATCGATCCTACCCAGATGGCTAATAATCACAATGAAGTGTCTGGGCTTGAGCTTGCTCACGGACATGTGGTCAAGAACGCGCTGCAGCACCATATCGGGTCGTCAGTGTTCGCCGGACAAAACATCCCCTTTTTCGGACAGCCTCATGGTTTTAACCCAATGTATGCAGCAATGGGGGAACCAAGTGGTTGCTGATCTACGGAACTATGCTGCATTTGGCCCTGGTGTAATGAACCAGGGCTTGATGGTGCCACCGAACCACATGGGCATGTTGGGCCAATATGCTGCCGATGGCCACGGAGGTTGCGGCGGCGGTGGAGAACGAGCTTGGTATCTGAGGTAATAAAGACAGTATCACTGGAGAGCGATGCCTTCGGGATTGGCGGACAGACACATGTGGAATGACTCTGCTTAGTTATGAGATCGGCAAGGATTAGCCTTTGAAATCTTGTTGAACGTTTGCATCTAACTTTGGTTGAGGCACAGGAGTTGCCTCTGCTTTCAGCTAAGGCTAATGATTAATGATATCTTACTTACGGTCTGGCCGGAGCTTCTTACGCTTTCTTTTGCCATTCGGTTTGCACCTTTCAATCTGGTCTCTGTCTTGCTCACAGGGTCTTGGTTCGAGATTTCTTTGTCAAGATGTGTTTTTTTACCAATGGCTAGAATATGTTTTTGTTGTCTGAAAATGTACACAAGCCCCTCCGTTTCTGCACTTGGCTTCGCTCTCTTAAAAGGGTTTTCAAAGTGACCAGTTTTCAGCGGATCAATCCTTTGCTTCCAACTCCATATCTTTGATATTTGTTTCTTCTTTCTTCGTTGATGTTTTTTAAGAGTTTTGCAATGCCCATCTCTTCCCTTCAAAACATGGACTATCTCTCTAGTTCCGGATCTTGGGATGTTCAGTTCCTGTGGCCTTGGAGGACTCTCTGTATAAGTGTTTTTCCTTGTCTATATTCCTTGTAAGCGTGCTTCAGTGATCATGGGAAGAATATCTGAGAACAAAATCTGTTTACATCTCCTGTTTCCTCGTATTATGTTAATGTACATATTGCAGGTCTTGACCACGTGAGCTGCCGAGGCACACGTGTCTTGAGAGAGGACATAAATTATAATAACCATTTGAGTTCATGTCGTTATGCGTAAAGAGGTTTTAAATTCATTCGTATTTGTTGGAGTTCTACGTGTTGTAAATAATACAAGGCAGCTTGAAAATTCCCAGCCTCAAACTAAAGCCCCAATCCCTAAATCCTTTCTCGCTCCTCCCCAGCCAGCCATGGTGAAAACCCTAGACAAATCTCGGAAGCGCAAGCGCACCAAGCCCAAATCCAAGAAAATCGATAAGAAGAACATATCGAAACCCGAATCCTCGGCGTCACATCCCTACTCTAGTGCCGACGACAAAGATTCCGACTCGGAGTCTGGATTCGACCCGGCGGAGCTCCGGGAGCTTCTGCAACCCTATTCCAAGGAACAGCTTGTCGACCTCGTTTGCTCCGCCGCGGAGAAGCAACCCTCGATCTTCTCCGCCATCCTGGACGTTGCCGACTGCGATGTCACCCACCGAAAAATCTTTGTCTACGGTCTCCCGTGGGAGACCACGCGCCAGTGTCTACTGGATGTCTTTGAGAGATACGGAGAGATCGAGGAGTGCAACGTCGTTATGGATAAGGCCACAGGGAAGGCCAAAGGGTTCGCATTCGTTCTGTTCAAATCGAGTAAAGGCGCGAAATTGGCGCTGAAGGAACCGAAGAAGAAGATCCTTAACCGGACAGCGACGTGCCAACTGGCATCGATGGGGCCGGCGGCCGCAACCAAGGGGCAGGAGCAAACGGGACCGGTGAAGATTAACCTGGTTCAGCAGCAGCAGCCACCTCAGGGACAACAGGTATTGTGCGGTGGTGTCGCCGTGGTGCCGTCTTTGCTAGGACAGCATCCAGGTCTGAACCTGGTTTACGGGTCTGGATTATTGGGTGACCAGGCTCTAGGAGCCTCAGGAGGATATATGTATCCGGTGTTGGCAGGTGCACTTAGCCATGGTGCGTTTGACAACGGTGGGTTCGGTTCTGGCTTTGTGAGTGGCGGGTTGGACCGGTTGGTGCAAACGAGCTCTGGTGGAGTTGGAGGACCAGGTGGTGGAGCTGGTTTGCATTACTTAAGAGGTGAGAGTTTTCAGAGTGTTAATCCAAATCCCCATATCGGAAAAATAAGGGGTGGCAGCGATCAGGAGGCCGATGGGTCGTTCCCAGTTACTCATCCTATTCCTATAGATGGTATGTTTACTGTGACCTTTTAAGATCTCATTTTGTGTTTTAGCAATTTCTGCTTTAAAATTGTGTTTTGAAGAATTTGTTTGGATTACAAAATGGATGATGTTCTTTCCAGCTCGGGATTCTTAGAAGTTGTCTGGTCTTAAGCTTCTTAGGTAGATACAGGCCATAAAGCTCTCGACTTGTATCCACATTTTAGGCTGGGGATTGATGTTTGGTTTTAAGCCTAAAGAAGGTTGGCTATTAGGATGAATTTCTACCGGATTTGATTATGTTGGCTTGGAAATAGGTTGTAGTTAAATTGTTTTTGTTAGGCAACACTATCTCTCGAAGTGAAATTTGCTCTGGATCCTTGTTTGAATGTTTATCAAAGATTCCAGTGCCTTATCCTCTAACTGGCTGTTGCTGAATGTATCACTCTGACTCTAGTCTTCTGTTTTCTTTGTTTTCAGCGATTTCTGTTTTTTTTCTTCTTTTAATTTTCTGTTTTGGTTTTCCTCTATGTTTTGTTTTTCTGTTTTTCTTCTTTTCGGTCGTCCTCTGCGTTTGATTTTTCTGTTCTCTTCTTTTTGGTTTTCTTCTGTTTTTGTTTTTCCTTATTTTCTTCTTGTTGGTTTTTTCTCTGTACTTTCAGTTTTCGTTTTTATATATACTTAACGCCAGTGTCTCCTTTGGCACGGTTCAGAGAAGTTTATTTCTTGTTGGGGGTAGGATTTGTGTTTTGTTCTTCCAAGTTTTTCATATTCTTGAGTGAATATTGGTGATGTCGCCTGCTGAATTTTTCGAGCTGAGTTCTCAGAAGTATATTACGATTCGCATTCTTTTATCTTATTTTTTATTTGAGCCTTGCATTTGCGGCTCATATGTTTTCTCTGATGTTACGGTCTGAATTGTTCTCCATCTTTCTCGCTGTCTCATTCTGATCCTTTTCTTGCTCTGCCTTAGATATGGCTCTTTCTGATTTCAATGTTGTGTCAATGAAAAACACTAATATGTTTCAAGGCGAGCTTCTTTCGCTATTTTATGCCAGTTTTTATACTCTTTCTCATTTGAGTTCGATTCTGTGTATTGCAGTTCCCTTTTGACGTTTTGTTTTTGTTTTTCCTTTTCGGGATTTATTGGATATCTTCGTGCGGGTTCTGATCACTCATGTTTCTATCTTCTCAATTGCTCAAAAGTTATTTGATAAATATTATGTTTGTTTTTATGTGAATGGACTTCGGGCTTTGCAGATGGCATGGTGGGCTATGAGCTTTGAGAATGGTAACCATTCACTTTTCGAGTCGGGTCATGTTCTTTTTCACATTCTTTCTCCTAAGATTTTCATTGACATTTGACAATCGTATCACTTCTTTCTGTTGTATTAACTTCTGGATATCGTAATCAAATTATCAAAATCCCTTCTAGGCATTTTGTTGTATCTCTTCTTCTTATCTTTTCATGTTACCCTTTTGCTCACATTTTTTTTTGGTTTGGTAGTGCTCCATAGAATGAGGCCTTTCACATGTGAAACTCTTCATGTTTCTTCCCCCTTAAGTCATTGATTGATGACACTTGCACCATGCCCGAGTTCTGTCTTTTCTTTACGAGGTTTCTTCATTTTTGTTTTGTCCAAGATAACTAGTGGACAAAAGCATAGTAATTTTTTGTGAAATTTGAAACATTATTAGCCCGTCTTTCTGAGAGCCAGGTGTATGCAAATAATGATGCTCTGCGGACTCCAGGGGTATGTCACCGCTTCCTGATTAAGTTATCTTTATCTGCATCTACTTGTTTGTGTTGTATCTATGAAGCAAGTACGCTGTTAAAACTCAAGACATTTTTGTGAGCAGGGTTAGGATAAAAACTGGCCAGGAATTAGAATCTAGTAGGAGCTAGACCTATTTCCGGTCCACTGGCCTACACAAAGCTTTGTACTTCACATTCTGGCTTGCGGAAGATCAACTTGGTCAATCTTTAATATGTCCGTAAGTTGGATATATATTGAAGAGACTCTCTTATAAATCCCGGAGGCCCCCAAAACCTGGAGAGATGCTTCTTTCAGTGCATGGTTGGCCTATCGGGGTCTACAAAGAAGGGTAACAATATGGGTGGGAGCCATAAAGGGTTATGTTTCTATATCAAAATGGTTCCCCTTTTGTTTTGTAGCTCTCTTTCTTACTCACAACGGCACAAAGATCGGCACAGTGTTCAAATGTGTGTGGAAATGATTTGTGCAGAGGAAGACAGGTGAAGGGCTCTTTCTTCAAAGATTTGGTAACATCCCAGGTTGCTGGTTCTCATTTCTCATGGGGCTATTCGGCCATATCGGATAAACCATTTCCCGTGTTGTTAGTTTTAACTTTTAGATCAACACACGATATTAGGCCATGGCGGGAGACGACCGCACGTTTGGCCGAAATGAGATGAAAATGGATGATCACTCTAGTTGGGTACTGTATTTACTTACTATTTCTAAGAGGCACAAAATTTTTGCAGAGACTGGAATTCTTGATAGATCAGGGGGCGCAAAATGCAAAAAAGTAAAATATTTGGGCTATTCTTGGAAAAAATGAAAAATATGGGTGTTAATTAGAATAGTAAAAAATTTAGGATCGTTATGGATCGGGAGAATTGAACCCGACGTGAATCGAACACGCAACCTTCTGATCTGGAGTCAGACGCGCTACCATTGCGCCACGGATCCTGTTGTTAAATCTCTCTCCTGGAATTTAAATCAATTAATAAAAAATAATATTTTAGCTTCCCGGCCAATAAGATTTTTACATATACTCCAAAATCACTCACTATTCACGAGATCTTTACCCTACCAATTTTTCTAAAAATAAAATCCCATCATTAGGAACGATGAACCACTGTTATACAGCTGTTACTCCACGAGATCCCCGTGTGGGTACTCATCCACGATCCGATGATCGGTTTCCCTTTCGCCACGTGTTCGGGTCAGATAGCGAGTAGCACGTGTTCTCCATACTCGCAGGCGGACATAGTCTCGTGTCCATCGGAAGTGTTGGCAAAGGCCCCCGATGACTTGTCTCTTCGGCCGTCCCATCCAACGCAATTAAAATCAGTTAAATCGTTACGTCATATTGAACGGTCCAATCCAAGCGAATTCCTGAATCTTACTTGTATCATCCGTAATGCCATTATTATTTTTTACATATATATTATATATATGTATGCAATCGTTTTGATTGTGTTACCTCTGTTTACTTTGTTATGTATGTCTCTATATAATAAACATCATACAATACAGTGCCACGTTTATACGCTTTCTCCTGCCGTTGATAAAGTTACAGCGATCACGGCTGCTGGAAAAAAAAAAGGGTTTTTGTGTCCGTGAGCGTCAGCAGCCACGTCATCACCACCGACACGTGTCCATTACAGCCCCCACACGCCACACGATCCATTGGCTCGTCCGGTCATAGCCTCCGGTCTGATTCTCTCTCGCTCTTCTCTACCTCTCTCTCTCTCTTCACCAAATATTTGGGCGCAGAATCTCTCTCTCTCTCTCAAGGAAAAATAAAAAGGAAAAACTGTGTAGAAAGGTCTTCTATTTCATACAAATGGCGTTTGGAAACCCTAGAGGGAGTTCGCCGTCTTGGCTATGAGTATGGGGAGTTTTCGGATTAATTCCGCGGCAGATTCCGATTTCAGTGCAGATTCGTCCTCCTGTAACGGTGGGTTTGGAGTTCTTGTTCGATTTTTGTCTGAAATCCGCAAAAAAATGATGTTTGGGGACCTCGATTCTTTTATCGTTAGCAACGGAAATGTGAATTTGTTTCTGAAAGTTTCTAGCTTTCTGTTTGGTTTGAGCGGAGCTGATGGATCGTAGTAAAGCTTTTCTCTTTTGTGCTTGTTTTAGCGTAAGCTGTCAGCTTAGTTGAGCAAAGGAGAAAACTTTATTAGAAATTGTTTGATTTCGAAACTTTATTGAGCACTCTATTCAATTAATCAATACTCTTCGAAAAAATTGTTAGAAATTGTTTGATCTCGAAACTTAAGCTGTTTACGCGCTTGTCCGCAGCTTTTCCGACGCACCCAGAATAGTTTCTCGTCTCAATCTCGGGGTAGTTGCATCTGTATTGAAGATTTAGGATTTGTGGATGCCGCTTCTGTGTAGTTGGTTCTGATTAAGAGCCTGCTTGAGTTGGGTTTCTCTTTCTCTTGCATTTGGAACCTTTTGGAAGGTTTCTTGCTCGGTATTGCGAAGGGGTTTTAGAACTTCAATGCCCTATGGCTGAAGACAGCCTGCGGGGTGGTGGGCTTTCTTCTGGTCTGGCTGTTATACTGAAAGGCAAAGATTCTAAAGATAGTTCATCCAAAACTCGTCTTGTCCCATGTTTTGATGATTCTGGTCACCAACCTCTAGAAAGGACTATCGAGTACATATTTGGTCTCCCGGAAAAGTCGATCGGTCCGGTGGATGGTCCTGTAGACAGTGGCTTGATTCGTACCATATTCAGGAACCATTTCTCCAAGCTACACTTAAACTCGGATGCCTCAGTTATCAACAGAGATGGAATCTGTGTTGTTCACCATGGCGTTGGACCCCCTGTTGTTGACCTTGAAGAGTACAGCATATGTGGTGATATTAGGATTGTAAAACCGTCTCTGGTATTGGAGAGTCTAGCACTGTTCAGCAGCGCCAGGGCTAATGCTTGTATCTGGAAAGGAAAATGGATGTATGAAGTTACTTTGGAAACATCAGGAATTCTACAGCTTGGATGGGCAACCATTGCTTGCCCATTCACTGACCAGAAAGGTGTTGGTGATGCTGATGATTCGTATGCATTCGATGGTCGGAGGGTAAGCAAATGGAATAAAGAAGCTGAACCGTATGGCCAGTCATGGGTAGCAGGTGATGTCATTGGTTGCTGCATAGATTTGAACTGCGATGAGATATCATTCTTTAGGAACGGTGTCTCTCTCGGGATTGCTTTTTCTGGGATCAGAAAACTTGGACCCGGATTTGGATATTACCCTGCTATTTCTATCTCCCAAGGCGAAAGATGCGAACTGAATTTTGGTGCTTACCCGTTCAAGTACCCGATAGAAGGTTTCCTACCGCTTCAAGAACCGCCATCTGGAAGATCTTTTGCAGCCCAGCTGCTAAAATGTTTCTCAAGACTGTTGGATCTGCAATCAGATAGGAATGACTGTTCCCTGGCTGATAAATTAATGAGAGTGAAGAGGTTTGTACCTGTCGAAGAACTCTTTCATCCTGTTTCCAGTGCCATATGTGATGAGTTCTTCTCCATACTTGAGCAAGATCCCAGGTTACCTGAGTATATCGGACGGGGTGCCTTTTTATCATTCGTTATGGGGGTTTTCAGAATTCAAACGCCGCACGATTGTTCGAGTTTGGACAGAATTCTCAATGTGTTTCTTGAGTTTCGACAATCCAGTTTGTTCTTTGAGCATGTGATAGCTGCCCTTGCATGTGGTTGTAAAACATCTACGTTGATGCTGACAGAATGCCCATATTCAGGAGCATATCCCTATCTTGCGTTGGCTTGTCACTTGTTAAGGCGGGAAGAATTGATGGTCCAATGGTGGAGATCCTTGTATTTTGAGTTTTTGTTTGAAGGTTTCTTGTCATGCAGGAGTCCCAACCTGCAGGATCTTCAGCAATTAATGCCTGTTGTTTGGTGGCCTGGATCCTGTGAGGAAGTCTCTTATGAGAGTAGCATGGGATTGACTGTTGCTGCTTTGTCTGAAGCCTTAAACAAGGTACTCTCCTATAGATTAGAATTTATTTTACTGATCTAGTGGTCTCCTTTTGCTTTAAAGTATATAAAAAAAAAACACTGCTTCACCTTCCCTGGATTTAGCTTGTGCGGATTCAGACATTATCAGGAAAGTAATCCATTCTTTCTCTTGGAATTCAGATAGAAGAGAAACAGAGGGATCTATGCCTCTTGGTCATACAATTCATACCCCCTGTGTCACCTCCCCAGCTCCCTGGTTCAGTGTTCAGAAGATTTTTGCAGAACCTTCTGTTGAAGAACCGAGGTGCTGATAGGACCTTGGCTCCTCATGGAGTTACACGCAATTCTGTTCTTGTTTCTCTATTTGCAGTTATACTCCATTTTCTATCAGAGGGTTTCAACATGTTGAAAGGCAGTAAAGCCAACCATCAGGATGCTGGTTTTCTTCACCGAGGTGGTCAGCACAAGTTTCCCCTGACTCTGTTTCTCAGGAATGATCCACATCGAGCAGACATCGCTAGGCTTGGAGGATCCTTTAATCACTTATCTAAATCATATCCCACGAATGGTCAAGAAGAAGAAGTGATTCGGTGGGAAGAAGACTGCTCGGACGATGAAGATAATAGGGTTACTCATGCAACTAAGAAAAAACCATGTTGTTGTTTAACTTATGATGCTGATCTCACAAGAACCTTGAAGGAACGGGTAAAAAACGCGGTTAAAAGTTCTCATGGTCAGTGCAGCTCAATGCCTGAGAGTTCCTCCCATGTTTCTGCAGAATGTAGTACTGAAACTTTCAGTGAAGAAATAGCAGACAAACCTAGCTCAAGTGATCATTCTGAGTCTGAGTTTGGTTATCGTCCATTACGGTTTATAAGTATTACACCACAGGAGAACAGAATTTCTTCTGCTACACTAAGCGAAGAAGAACTTTTGGATGCTCTGTTGCTGTTATATCATATTGGTGTTGCACCAAACTTCAAGCAGGTAATGGGTTTTCATGGAAAGGCTGTTTCCATCCTGCTGCAGTTTCAAGTTTCAACCTTTACTTCTTTTCCTCTTCCATTGCTGGCCAGAATCGTCTTCCATCATTTTTCTGTTCTGCATCAATTCATGTGATACATGTTACACCCTTGTAGCTTGAAAGTCTGACAGATTTTCCTTGTCTCTAGGCTTCATATTACATGTCTCACCAATCACAATCAATATCGCTTCTCGAAGAAACTGATAAACAGATAAGGGAACGGGCATGCACCGGCAGCCAATTAAGGCGTTTGAAGGAAGCTCGAAACACATACAGGGAAGAAGTTGTTAATTGTGTTAGACATTCTGTGTGGTAATGTTTTACTTCCCTTCTGACTCGATGTGTTTACAAGTTGATAGGAATTCCAGAGAGGATGCTGATAATAATGATTTATCTAGGGCAATTTTGCATGCCTTTTTTTTTGTTCTCTTTTCTCATCCTGAGTCATTTTTACAGGTTCCGCATCTCGTTATTCTCTCGGTGGAAGCAAAGAGGAATGTATGCGTTGTGCATGTGGGTTGTGCAGTTCCTTCTGACACTCAGCAAAATGGACTGTGTGTTTGTTTATATCCCAGAGTTCTACCTTGAATCTTTGGTAAATTCCTTCCTCTGATTAATTTATTGGTTGTCTTTGATATGTCAAGAGATATGGTCGTTTTCTCTTCGATGAAGGCCTGTTCTTTTTTATGTTTTCAATGTTATTAGGGATTTTCTTGAAAAACGTTTTAACAAAATCTGGGTAATGACAAATGTCTTCAGAGTCCTGAATCCCAATATCGTAGGTCATTGTATCGGGTGAATAGTGAGACCGGGACATTAAAAGGCTGCCTCGCAAGCAATATATCGTGGGATTTCAGTTTGTGGGCTGGGACATTATGCTGTTCTCTTTCGTCTTTTCTCTGTTAAAAACTGTTCGATTTATATCTCTCTGTTTTTTCTGTTGCTCTCAGGTAGACTGTTTCCATGTGCTTCGCAAGAGCGATCCCCCCTTTGTTCCTTCAACAATATTTCTCACTCAAGGACTCTCATCCTTTGTATGTCCAAATTGCTCATCACGCTCTTTTTATCTTTTTCTATTGCCTTAATGTTATTGGTCTCGGTATGGTGCAATTTTCTTGAGACCTTCAATATGCATCTTCTGTTTGAAAGACTGGAGACTTTTTAACTTTATCTATAGCCTGCACGCATATGAATTATTTGACATGATGATCATTGGCTGCAGCATCATGATCATGTTTGTTGGAATGCATGTTTTTGGTTTTCACAGTTGCGTAATGGTTGTAATCATGGTTACTGCTAATACTTGCTTATCAGGTCACATTTGTAGTTACTCACTTCAATGATGCAAGAATATCAAGCACGGATCTGAGAGATCTTCTTCTCCAGTCGATATCTGTACTTGTACAGTACAAGGAGTATTTGGAAGCTTTCGAGAACAATGAGTCAGCTATGCTTCACATGCCTTCAGCACTGTTGTCTGCATTTGACAACAGATCCTGGATTCCCGTCACGAATATACTTCTGCGCCTGTTCAAGGGTTCAGGGTTTAGTTCATTAAAGCATGGGGAATCGTCTTTCTCATCCGTTGTTTTCCAGGTGGGTTTGATTAGATTAACCTTTTTTTCCTGTTTTTATTCTTGTCTCCTCTTTGAAGCCGTGTCTCTTAGTGTAATTGCTTTTGTTCTGTCTTGTCTTCTAGGGCCTTCTACGAGATGCTTGTATCAATGACGGGGAACTATTCTCAACTTTTCTTAACCGGCTGTTTAACACGCTAAGCTGGACTATGACTGAGTTTTCTGTTTCGGTGCGAGAAATGCAAGAAAAGTATCAGGTAAGATGATCTTTTGACTATAACACTATGGTCATTAGATCATGTTCACTTCTCATTGTTCAAGTCATTGCTCTCTCTTTACTACATGATAACATCCATTCTACCTATGCAGTTGCTGGAGTTTCAGCAAAGGAAATGCTGTGTTATCTTTGAACTCTCTTGCAATCTCGCGAGAGTCTTGGAGTTCTGCACCCATGCAATTCCACAAGCTTTTCTTTCCGGCTCTGACACAAATCTTCGCCGGCTCACAGAGTTGATTCTTTTCATCTTGAATCACATGACGTCAGCTGTAGATGATGAGTTCTTCAACCTGTAAGTTTGGTTAACTTAAACACGGTTGCAGTAAAAAGAAAAAAGAAAGAGAAAGTTTTACGAATGTTCAAATGGAGCAGTTGACGGATTGGCTCTGTGCCTTCTTCCTGCAGATCACTTAGGCGACATGGAAAATCTTCAGAGAAAGTGGACCGAGGGGTCATATTAGCTCCTCTTGTGGGTATCGTCTTGAACCTACTGGATGCTGCTGAAGACGCGAAATGTGGGAAACAACACGATGTTGTCAGTGTTTTTGCTAGCATGGACTGCCCTGATACTGTCTTTTACGGGTTTCAGTATCTCCTGGAATATAATTGGGTAAGTACTAAGTACTAAGTTTCGGTGATATGCTCTGTAACATCTGATTAAAGAATATTTGGAACCGGTTCTGGTCATATGCATATCCGATTTCCATCTCCCGTTCTTAGCCATGTTCTTCGTTACATTTCAGGACGGATGCATTGCTGGGGATGCGTATCTACGGAAACTGGGACAACTGGAAAACTTCATGAGCCTTCTCATATGCCGGGCCTCATCGAAAGAAGCCGAGACAATAGAGTTCGGGAAAGGGACAGAAACAGAAGACAACGTGTGTTGCATCTGCTATTCATGCGAAGCAGATGCAACGTTTCTGCCGTGTTCACATAGGTCGTGCTACGGCTGCATAACCAGACATCTTCTGAACTGCGAGAGATGTTTCTTCTGCAACGTCACTGTCATTGATGTCCTGAGAGACGACGACCAGAGAAGCACTTGAAAAAACGCTGTTTTTTGGCTTTTGGTTTCTTGCTTGCGTTTCCAGGTCAGTTGCTGATGTGGCAAGCAATTTCTTTCTCGACTTCTGAAAATCTGTGGGGTTACGTAGAAAATGCAAAACGTAGGGTGGGGGGAGGAGGAGGAAAGAAAAGAAAAAAAAAAGAAAGAAATACGAGTAGGACAATAATGATTACAAACATGTTCAAGAACACGTGGAACTAGAATCTTGATTCGTATTTAGACAAATATTATTGTCGGTATAGTGTTTAGAGGGCAAGTGGAGAAACCCGAAAGAAAAAAGGTCTGATAATTTTGTAGGATCTGTCTGTCCTTTATGGGAACTTCTGTGTTTTTCCCTTTTGTTTTTCCCATGTATATATGCGGATGGATCGGAAACGAACCTCTCTCCAAGTTTCCCATCTATATAGTTTTGTCTACTTGGTGTCTTGTCTGGTTCGTAATCGGTGTTATAGAAGTATATATTTAGATTATTTTTGTTAATTTTATATCCTGACTTCCCGTTGAAGCCATCATCATCCTTTCAGAAACTCCATTGATGAATCAGCTGGTTGTACATACATGTACATGTATATATACACACACGCGCATTGACCGTATATACAATGGCAAGTTTGTATGTGTGTATCGGTGTATAAATACGTCTAATCTTGGCATGGGAGTTAGCTTCAGATGGTCAAAAACAACTTTTTTCCCCACAGTGACTCCTTAAAATAGAACATAGAGAGAGCTAAAGCAACGTTTGGCAGCTTGCGTGCATGCATGCATGTGTTGCCATTTTGAAGCAAAATATTGCACCGATTTTCTCCTACCGACCATTCACGTCCCCACAAAACGAAATTTAGAAAACCCAAAATCTGAAAAGGTTAAAAAAGAACCTGCAAAAAACTAAATTAACCAAGGAGGGGGAAGAAAGAAGAAAGGAGACGACGTCCGCACGAGGAAGAAGGGGAAATTAAGCCACCGTGGTCGTTAATGGGGGAGCCGCCAAAGCCACGAGTGAGCAGCGCCTCCTCCTCCACCGGCTCCTTCTCTCCGTCTCCGTCGCCTCCTCTGCCGCCGGCGACACATCCGGTTACCCTCGTCCATCCTTCCCAGAAGAAGAAGAAGAACAAAACCAAAGTGTTGAGAGTATTCCGATCGGTATTCCGCTCCTTCCCAATCATAACACCGGTTTGCAAGATCCCGGTCCTTCCCGGAGGCGGCCTTCCCGACCCGCACCGCGGATCACGAGTCACCGGAACCCTCTTCGGCTACCGAAAAGGCCGAGTCAGCCTCTCCATCCAAGAATCCCCTCGTTGTTTACCCTCTCTTGTAGTCGAGCTGGCCATACAAACCATGGCTCTTCAGAAGGAGCTGAGCGCCGGAATGGTGAGGATAGCGCTCGAGACCGAGAAGCGACCGGACAAAGAGAAGACTCGGATAATGGACGAGCCCTTGTGGACAATGTACTGTAACGGGAAGAAGGCTGGTTACGGCGTGAAGCGGGACGCGACGGATGAGGATCTGAACGTGATGGAGCTGCTGAGGGCTGTGTCGATGGGCGCCGGAGTCTTGCCGGGAAACTCCGAGGTGGACGGTCCGGACAGCGAGATGGCTTACATGAGGGCTTATTTTGAACGTGTAGTTGGCTCCAAAGATTCAGAAACCTTTTACATGTTGAGCCCTGAAGGGAATAATGGCCCTGAACTTAGTATTTTCTTCGTCAGGGTTTGACTGTATGTTGTGTATTTACGTGTGAGACATGCATGCATGCATGCATACGATGATGGTTGATGTACGAGTAATCGATTCATGATAATCAATTTAGGTTAAGAGTAATCGATTCCCCGATCTGATTTTAGCCTGGTTTGTTTATTTATTGTACTGCGTGTAAATTTTATGTTGTTTTAGATGTGAATCGTGAATATTTATAATCCATCCATCCATCCATAATACATGGCAAAATGTCGTCCTCTGTATTTTTAGTCAGGATAAACTTTTATCGACTCAGGTGGCTGGAAGCTAAACGACATAGAGTCGGTCCACGTCAACATTAATTCCTCCGATTGAAAAGTACGTTACTGAGCGAAAACGGCGCCACGTTTACCTCTATCCGCCACCTCACAAAAAAACGACACGACGTGTACTCTTCGACCACCTTGTGATTCCTTTTGTTCCTCTGTGATTCATTCTCCATAGAATATATTTCTCAAGAGCCTCATCCTTTAGATTCCCGGGATCGTTGGAATCAATAACCGCTCCCATGGCCACCGTGGCGCGTCTGATCCGCTGTCAGTTACCACGGTCGAGATCGGTGGTTCCGAGGAGCCAATCATCGGAGCCGATTCAGCAGCTCCAGGTTCAGCGGTCAAGATCCGGCGATCTGGTCGAGAATGGGAATATCGTGCTGCAGCCGAGGCTTTGCACGCTGCGATCGTACGGTTCAGATCGAGGTCCGGTGATTGTCGCCAGAAGAGACGGCAGCGGGGACGGCGGAGCTGCGGTGGAGGAGGCGTCTCCCTTTTTTGAGACACTATCGGAGTACATAGAGAGCTCGAAGAAGAGCCAGGACTTCGAGATCATCACCGGCCGAATCGCCATGGTAAAATCCTAATCGCAATTGCAGAAAACTCAACTAATGGAACGCAAACGTGATTTTCCCCCCCAGTTTGTTTCTGAGGAATTTGGAGAGTTGTTTGAAATCTTGTGAACTAGGAAGAGAGTGAAATCAGAGATTGAGTGTCTCATGTCCGATTCTGATGGAAATTGGGGATTTCTTCTTTTAGATCGTATTTGCAGCGACGGTAACGGAGGAGATTGTGACGGGGAATTCGGTGTTCAAGAAACTGGACGTGGAAGGGCTAAGCGAAGCAATAGGGGCGTGTTTGGGAGCGATGGGATGCGCCGCCATATTCGCATGGTTAACCATCGCTCGGAACAGAGTCGGAGGGATCTTCACAGTGAGCTGTAACTCGTTCATCGACTCGTTGATCGATCAGATCGTCGACGGGTTGTTCTACGAGAGCGAGCTCAGTGATTGGGCCGACGATGTCTAGACATAGTTGCTATAATGTACACACGCACACATATATACTCATAATACAGTGCTCATCTTCGCCAGAGAGCCCGTTATGCGTGCGATCACACTCTTCATATATGTAAAACTGCAAAACTTACATACTGGGCGTTCAAATCAGACGAAGATTTTTCTGCTTCCAAGAATGTAGAGATGATGTAGAATTTTGCTTGAAGTGGAATGTTAAATCTCATGAACAAGTTTGGCAATTGCAGGGTTTTCAAAAAAAAAAAAAATTCCCCCTAATTCTGTATTGATATGAATATGTGGTTGGTTTTTAAGTAAACCCTGATCAACGAGGACATGAGAAATTTCATAGATATAAGTTCCGTATCATTTAATTTTACCTACCAACAAACCTCTAACAACCTTACTACCACATTTTAAAATGTGACAAAAAGAAAAGGTCCCACCGAGATTTGAACTCGGGCTATTGGATTCAGAGTCCAATGTCCTGACCACTAGACCATGGAACCGTTGGTTTACCAACTTAACGATGGCGATCTTTTTTTATTACAAACGGAACTACATATATATATTGGACTTTCCTTGCTGAAGTTTTTTAACCTTTCGATTAGCTTCCCTGTCATCAAAATCCAGCACGAGTACAGAAATGTTACACAAATTTCACTATATAAATATTGCCCACAGAAGAACGAAAACACGTAAAAAGAAACTCTAAACCGGGTGCAGGAATGTCTTAAATAAAGCCGGTTTACGTCTGAATGTGAATGTGAATGTGGCAATGCTATTTTGCACAAAGTCGCTCCTCAGCAGCAGGACGAAGGAGCGCACTATGAAATGAAACCATCAAAAACAATTCTATGGATTGGCACCAACGAGCCAATTCCACCTCTCTCAGATTCCGATACGGCAGATTGGATTCTGTTTTATGAGATTCAGATCCACCTGCATAAACATTAACACCGATGAAATGATACCCCATAATGCTATATGCAGTTGTCAAATCTCGTAATAATGACCGCAGAAGAAGCGATTGCTGAAGAGGAAAATCTGTACCTTGTGACCGAAGAGATCCCGGATGTTGTCGATGTGGTACAATATCATGGTCGGTCTGGTTAGAAACAATTAAAGAGAACCATCATCCTTTGTAAGTAGTAGTAATGTTGAATGGTGAAACAAGGTTTGTGATAGAAGATATTTGCAATTCTCTTTGATTCCTCTCCTAATATGGTCACATTGCAGGAAATAATGGTATTTGATTGTACCTTTCGAGGGAAAGACCCCACGCGATTACACGTACGTCCTCAGGGAGGCCCATAGGAAGTAGCATTTCGGGTCTGAACATTCCAGAATTTCCGATTTCTACCCATTTCTTTAGTCCTTCATGGTAACTGCCAAAACACACAGACACAGTCTTTCTCAAAGTTCTCAGACCCTCCACAAAATGTATTTTAGCAATGTAATCACCTGAAAATCTCCATGCTTGGCTCGGTGTACGGATTGTAGGCAGGCTTGAAACGTAGCTTGGACATTCCTGAGCACGAATGGATTAAGTTTAGTTCATGAATGTACCAAAAAGGTAACCAGATTTCTTTTCTACGGAATTGAACCCTACATCTCAATTCCTTAAATTAGATTATCAGGTTCCGAGGCTTATTCAGCCTCAAAACACCGAAATGAAAGAACATGGGTGATGAAGCACATACCTAAACGTGAGAAGAAGTCATGCAAGACACCAATCAAGTCACCCAATGTAAGACCCCGGTCGCATACCAAACCTGATCAAAATAGAGAACACGACAATGTGAAATCCATCTTTTTTTTTCATGCAGGCAGGCAGTCAGGTGATACCAAGAACATGCAAAGGCATGATATTAAGCTGGTTGATGAAAACGAGGAAATAAATTCTGTTTGCTTTTTCCGGAACCTATCAAGATATATAAGATCTTCCAAGAACTACACTGGATCTAATCTAGTTTTATCCATTAAGATAATCCCAAGGACTGGTACTTCCTCCGTAATACTGACGTCTGCCATGAAACTACAGATCAGAGGAATATGATTCCCATTTTTTGTGGACTACATTACATTGGATGATTTTTCATGACTCTTTACTTTCAAAATCTAAAAGCTTAAGTTGACTTTATGCTTCAAGATGCTCCTTTTCGAATAATTCCTAACTGCATCTTCTGGCCATTGGCTAATATCTTACCCTCTATCTGATGGAACTCCGCCAGATGGGTTCGGTCCACAGCTTCATTTCTGAAAACACGGTCTATGGAAAAGTACTTCTTGGGAGCAAAAGGTCTCTACAGAGAAAAAAGAAACAGTTAAACTAACGAGTCCATATGTAATGTTCTAGAGCTCTTGCAAGTACGCAACCAAATATCAATTAGACAGCAGAAGAGACCAAGACGAGACATTTATATGACTCAGTCACCAAAATTCTCCAACATATAAACACACGTGTATGTGTGTTTGGGTGTGTATATATGCACAGCACCTGACTCAAAGATCCAAATATATATGATAGTACTGGGTAACACAAGCAGTGAGCATGCCAAGAATCATTTGTATAAAAAAATGACAAAGAAACATTGCCAAAGGACTAGGAAACATAGAACATCAGTGCATCGAGACTTGGAAGGCTAAAACCATAGGTGATCAGACCTGTGCTAGTGCATAAAGCATCCTAGAAGAGACAGCAGTTGTGTGAGTACGAAGAAGGTTTTTGTTTGCTTCCTCTCTTTTCCAGTCATACGCATACCTGTAGAATACAAATATCAATAAGATATATATTACCGGAAAGTTGGAACCTACGAGGTAGTATGGACAGATAATGAAGGAATAGTCATTACCCTCTTGATCCATAGCCACCAGACTCATGAATATATTTCACCCTTTCAACATAATCTTCCGGCAGTGTTCTTGTAGTTGAGGGAGCTACAGTAATACATTTCAATAGTAATATCAAAGTTAGATTGTCTGCGAATGACTGCAAACAATTGCCAGAACAGCGACTGAATATTTAAGAAATTAACCTTTTAGGAAGAAGGTGTCATGAGAGTCACGGGCAGGATGCTGCTGAGGTTGGAACAAAGCATCAAAATTCCAGAAGCTACAAGGCGGAGTAGAGAACAAAGGGTTAGAGAAAACAATGCACTGCAAAACTACAAGCATCTTCCTAAATGTTCATGAAGAATGAAGATATTCAAGGTGGAGGCAAAAGTAACTTAGATGAATTAAAAAAACATATGTTATGTTGACATCAAACGACAAAAACAAATATAAACATCTAATTATATAATATATACCTGCTTTCCACAAAGTTGTTAGTAGGCATCTCCTCGAATCTGTGACCATATAAGGTTGCACATTAATTTTCTATTAACAGCAGAAAATAGAGGGGTAGGATATATCTGCTAAAAGTCTCACCCCATCTGAAGAAATATGTCTTTGAACTGCTTCCGCACCTGGAACAAGAAAAAGAAACTTTTAAAAACTCATGAAGAGCAATGGCCACTGAGTTCTGCAACAAAAACTATAGAAGCAAAACATAGTATAAAATTGAAAAAATGAGTTATATGAAACAAAGCAATCTTACAGTAAAAGCCTTCAACAAAATCATTTCGAGTTTGTTTACCTTGAGAAGGGGGTGGAGATGTCCAGCCTCAACAGGCTGTCCTTTAGCATTGAAATTATACTCCTTGAACTCTAACTCTTTCCAGTCACCCCTACCAACCCAAATACCATTTTTCTATGTTATTTCACAGCACGTGTTCAATAGAATTGGTTAAATGAAGAAAGCTAGGAAAAAAAGCAGGTACCTCTGTAGATTTTCCCGAGTCAAGTCCGTGGCCACTTTCTTTCTTTTGGGAGCATAATTAGGACCTTTATTCACAGAATAGCCCTTCCATGTCCTGAGAGAACAAGAGAGAAAAGCTTCGATAATGGCTCGCATGAGGAATAAAAGATCAAAGAACAGTAGAGAAATTACTGTGGTGCTATAAGTTTTCTGGTTTTGAGAGCACTAATGCTGTCTTTACCAATTTCCTGGAGGGGAGAAGGATATAGCTGTCATATGAAGCAGATACAGCATAAGAATTCTACTACATTCTACACGAATCAGTTGATACAAACCTTCCCTTCCTGCATTTGTAAAAGCAGACCTTTCACTTTGTCTTCTACATGTTGAACCTACAACAAATGTATTGGAGCTATTAACGCCAATTAAATAGATGCAAAGTATGACTGCATGCATGTGACAGCAGGCATAAATGTTCAAGAATGGTATTTAATCCACCAAAGAGATGCGATTTAACACCCAAACAAGGAAGTAAGATGCAGAACGAAAAGGGCAGGAGAAATGATTCATGTCAAATTCCTTGACAGATTCCAAAGAAGGAGACGACCAACCATTTCGAAATAAACTTAATAGAAAGAAAAGAGAAAAAAAACACCAACAAGATGAAAACACAATTTTGGATTACCTTCCTTGAGACTTGTTTCCCCATTTCCACCCACTTGTTCTTCCCAGCTTGTGAGCAGCCGATTTTGTAGACTGAAGGGTCTAGCATTTTCTGCTTCAGCAAGATTTTACAACAATTAGTTTCAACATTCCACGGAAAATCGCCGTAACTCATCCAAATATTATCAATTACACGGAAAAAGAACTACACCATATCAAATACCAGAAGATATATATTCATAACAATCACCTGGAGTTCCTCTTTTGATATGCTACCTTCCGCTGGCACGGCCAAGAACAGTTGTACCTCGGGTGACCCTTCAACGGCATACTTTTTCCCCTCATCAGTCAGCACCCATGTTTCCCTTTTAATGTCCTGCCAAAACAATCCAATGTCTTCTTCAGAAGGCAATGAAATTACAATGAACAACAATATAAGAAGCTCCGTTGTAGTTGACACTAACAAAAACCTGAGGCAAATGCGTAAACACGAGATTCACACTCGTGAAAATGTTTGATTTTTCATTCATAATCCAGAAATATTTCACTCAAAAACTCCAGCACGAACGAAAACTTTAAATCAATACTAGACCCTCGACTTAAACCCCCAAAGCTAATCACTTAAACAACACATCGGAATCCCCAATTGTCTGCCTCTGCAGCCGAATTCCACTGAAAATTTATAAACCTAAAACCAGAAATTTACGCAGCACCATGAATACAGATGTAGACCTGGGCATCAAGGTAACGAAAACCATGGAGGCTCTTGATGACATTGACAACATCACTGTGGTCGAGGTTGTATTCGGTGGCGAACAGGCCGGAATCTGGGATCTGCTCATGGTTCTGCAGAAACCCTAGAATCGCCGCCTCCGCCATATTTTCTACACTGCTCGTTCGTTGCCCAGGCCGCCGTATTTCCGAAAACCCTTTTGCGTCTGCTTTTGTCCTACGGAGTAACGGAACCACTCCAAACAATTGTATTGTAAACGCAAACGCGGCGATTAGATCTCATTTTGGAGATTGAACAAATAATTTATATATTTATGCTTTAACAATTCTTTCAATTGGGTCCATATAGTTTCAAAATAACCTATTTAGCCCCTTTCATACTGTGGTTTCTTCTAAAACTCCACATTTATATCCAGTCTTGTATACATACATATGATACTTCTATTTTCCTTTTCACTTGTATTGGGTTGGATTTTATACATATGAATTGTGAAACTCACTTGTTAGGCTCTAACAGGATATTTTACGAATTTTAAAAACAATCTGAAATTTATAATATGTAAAAATGCATTATAGAATCTTTTATCCATTCAGAATTATATCAAACTGTGGTGAGTGCATGCTCCAAGGATTCACAGTATAACATCATAAAAGAAAATTATTATTATCATTAGAGTTAACCACCATGCATGGTGTGCATACATGTGCATGGATTGTTTATGACGTAAAATACGAGGAATGACGCGATCAGACGTGCGCCGGCGAAGGAGCCGGAGAAGAGTCGCCGGAGTCGTCGGGATTCAGACAGTAACCACGGAGAACGTTGGCTTCGTCGGAGGTGAAGCCGATGGAAGTGAGCATGGCGGGCCAGCAGTTGGAGGTGATGACGTGGACGGCGCGGCAGCAGTCGGGACCGAGCTTGGTCTGGCCGTTGAGGAAGAACACCACGATCTCGTTGGTGCATGATTTCAGCTCGTACAACGCGTTCCAGCACTCCATCAGCCCTCCGCCTCCGCCGTCCAGCCTCGCTGCTATGTCTCTGGATTCCGCCGAGAGTTCCCTGCCGGAGACGCCGAGGAGTAAGTAAAGCGCGACGGTGGTGGCGAAGAAGAGGAAACCGGAGGTTGAAGCCATTTTTCTTTTCTTTTTTTGTTTGTATGTTTTTTGTGTGCGAGTGCTGTGTGAAGTTTGGGCTCTGAAGAGGGTTCGTATTTATAAGTGGTTATGTGGGAAGTGAGGTTATTAAGAGTAATTAAAAGATAGAATTAGTGGGGGAAGTGGTGAATGATTAAAGTGTAAATAATTGTGTTTACTTAGAACGATTCGATCGTAGAGCTTTAAATATTTGATTAGGTAATGCCGTAACGGATAAGGGGTCGGTCACTAAGTTAGATTGTTTATATTAACGTAAATCAAAGTGGCTGTAGTTTAGTGGTTAGAATTCCACGTTGTGGCCGTGGAGACCTGGGCTCGAATCCCAGCAGCCACATGATTCTTTTTTATTGAGTTTATTTTCTTCCACGTCACATTAAGCGGGCTTCTTCTCCCCAAATATTTTGCAATGGGCGCAATTTTCTGCCGCCTACCACGGCCCGTATTTTGACCATGATACCTTTTTTTTTTTCAATATTCGGATCACTATTCTCGAGTTTTAGGGTAATATATATCGATATTTAAAGTTGAAATTAATATCCTCCTGTAGGCAATATATTGCCAGAAAATGCAAAAATAAACAGTCATGTTGTAAATATGTAGATAACTTATTTTTGCTAGATTACTAAAATGAAACGCAATGCAATTAATAGCCTTGGGCTTTACAAAATTGAGGAAAACTCGTTACACATGGGGCGACGTAAATTATGCTAAAAATTGGGGATATTTCGAAAAGGAAAAAAAATATGATGGGGTGTTTGAGATTTCATTTTGGGTATTGATGATAATTGGTGGGCCTCTAACGTGGGCCCCATTTCACATGTCTTTGCGACGTGTCTTGTTACCACGAGACGAGGCCATGGAAGAGAGAGAATATGGGTAAATCTATATATATATATATATATATATATGATATGTATAAACAAAGTAATTAAAACCCGTAAAAGAGTCATCGCTGTTTCATTTTGTCTCTCTCGAGGTGGGGTTTGATTGCTCAATCATTAGGCTCAAACCCTAATTAATTAACTCTCAAATCTAATCGATTCGATTATTACTAATACAGTAAAAGGCTCTTTCCCATAATAATCAATGCATTGGCTACTTTGTCCTTTTCTCTATATTATGCGTATACCGTGGAATTGCCACACATCGTATAATAATTAAAGTACTGTAGTATTACTAATATAAATAATAATAATAATAATAATAATAATAATAATAATAATAATGAATATATATAGGTTGAGTAGTATAAATAAATTAAGTTTAGAACGTAATTCATATCACTCGATTTACTCTCGATTCCAGAATTAATTTAAACTTCGATACAAGATACTCAATTATATAAAAAAATCAAGTTTTACAGTTGTACCATTCCTAATCGAATGGTTAGATCTCAAAGAAATATATGCATTTTTTTGGATTTTCTTACTACTCAACACGCACCAATATCTTGTGCATGTAAGTATAATTAGTAAAATAGTTTATATATCCGTTTCCTTGTTCGATTGATCTTAGTTTACTATGTGCTATCGTTCTAAAAAAACGGTAAATTCATCTGGGTAAAATTATTTTTTTATAACTCGTTAATATTTAGTGATCCATTTTCCTCCTCTGATTTTTCTCATTCCGCTAAAAATCACCACATTTTGGTCTGACTCGTATACGAATACAATCCCCCCCCCCCCCCAAAAAAACAAGGCATGGATATGTATAATTTATACGGTTGTTGTTCTAGATCTCCGAAAATTATAGTTGGGACCAATGAACGGTGAATTTCCGGGTCATTAAAACAAGATTTAGTGATCAAAACTTTTATTATCTGCCCTATTTTTCCATTTAAATTGGAATTAAAAAGTGAAGAATAAATAAACAAGATAGGAAAGTAGAGCCACCGACAGCTAGAGCATCCGCACATGCAGCACGCGTATTTTAGATTAACATATCTCTCCCGTATTGGAACCGGTTTACGCTAACTGAAATTGCGTGACTATATATATATATATATACGTATTGATATTCGGGATCATTATAATAATTGCACGTTTAGTCCATTAAGACATGTTGATTACAGATAAAACATAGATTATATTCTTGTGTTCGTCCAACCGATCGATGGCAACATCGGAGAAAAACAAACACACAACGCAAAGATTCAGATGTGAATGTATATTGAAAGCTCGATTAATCGATTCACTTGTTTTGTACATTATATGATTCGTCGAACAATTCAATCCCGTGTGAAATATGCATATTATGCTCGTGCGTATATAGTTATACGTACAGTGTCGGCAAATCTTTTTATATATATGCTATAAAAAGATTTTATTCTATCAAATGTCCCGTTGGTGGTACCTTGTAGGCCATAGATGTTCAGCACTAATAATGCCAATGGTTCATATCGACCGACGGTCTATATATATGTATATATGCACACCCCATGTATGCATATGCGTGTGAATTTGAAGGACACAATAATTCAACATTCAAGTTTAAATTTAAAACTTGAGGTACATTGATGTCCACTGATTGTTATATATACATACATACATACATACATACGTACACACACAGAAGAGAACATGCTCATTTTCTGTGTGTATTTTATTGATAACAGTCGATCGGAAAATAAACATATATACATATATATTTATTTATGTATAGATACCGACATATAACATGCAATTCACCCACGACTAGCCATGTCATTAGTCATTGTAAATAGCCAAAAGAATAAAATTTAAATTACTTGCACATAACCACATGATTTATAGTCAACGTTAATTTCCATGCATATTAACTGCATGTGGGCAATGGCATTTCTCTGTCGGTCGGCCCTCCGCTCTGTCCGATGCTTTAAACATTCTTCACACACAACATTTATACTGTCTTCACCACCAAACCAACAAAAAAATCCAGGAAGGAAGAAGAAATTTGTACATAATTACCACCACCACCACCAGCAAATAGTATTGACAATGATGATGATGCCACCGACAACATGTTACGGTCCAAATTTAGAAATGTAATTAGCATATATTTATTTTATAAATCAAGTTGGCCCGGAAAGTGACGATACTCATCCAACGGTCACGGATTTGCGTAAATTAATTAATTGATAATTGATGATTAATTATTGTTGACTGTACGTGATTCGAAGCTTCAACGAACACCCTCTTCTCATTATTACATATTTGCTAGTAGATCTAAAAACCGGTTAACATCAGGATAATGATATGCGATCCAACTAACACAGATAAGGATATTATTTACGTATAAGAAATTATTAGTTGGTCTGGTGGCGAGCGATTGAAATTATTATTTTAAAGAATATTAATTACCTAATATATTTTTTTTTGGGTCAGACAACAATATAATTTTTTAATGTAGAAGATGAGGGGTTGGTCAGTAATAACTGGTAGGTTTTGGGTACAAACAGGAGAAAATCAAAACGCCGGGAACCTTTTTGAAATTATTGCGTGGTAAAAGTCGAAGACTTTCCCGCGGTTAAATTCAATTACCCGGATCCGATGACGAGGAAACCCGATTACCCAGACCCGACAACCCGGAAACCAATTAAACGCGGTTTCGATCAGTATCTTTGAACGGTACACAGTCTCTCTCTCCTCCAAACCTGTGTATATAAAGCTGTACTATTTTTATATTTATTTATTTCCATTATAAATTTTCTCGAGAAACAAACAGAGAGTAAAAAGAAAATAAACTTTGTCCTTTTAGTTATTTTCCAACGTTTTTCTATATTTGCCGCTTTTACAGTATAGTTTCTCTCTATGGAAATATTACCCTCGTGGATTCTTTTTTCCTTTATTTTTTTCCCGCGTTCTACCTACTCCTGCCGGTGGGGCACAATCCAGCTCCACCACCACCATCGCCACCGTCGCTTTCTCTGGGACCCACTACCTCATTGACGTCTTTTTTTTTTCCCTTTTTTTTTTCTTCTCAAAATTGTTTTCTTGGAGGAAATTAGTTTGCGTAATTGCTATTTGATCTTTTTAAGCCATCTTCATTTGCTGTCCACATTTCAACACAACTCTATCTGGGTTGTGACTGAATCTCTCTCTCTTTCTCTCTCCCCCATTATCTCTATCACCCTTTTTCTCACATTGCTTGTGTCAGTCTGCCATTCTTAGATTCATCACTGCATCCAAGGGTTTTGCTTCTCGTGGAATCAATAGCTTCTCCAAGAGATTTCGTCCCGAAAACTTTTTTTTGGTTTCCTTTTATTTATTTATAAATACGTAAAACTCGGACCCAACCCTCATTGTCGACTCGGCGGTTCTCGTTCTTCTTTTATGTACTGCATGCTATGTATCGGTGTTCCTTGTGATGGGAGTTCGACGGTCAGGATCCATTAGCCGGGTCGAGTCGGGTCGAGGGGAGTAGAAGTTTCTCTGCACCGGATCTGGAAGAAGTTTTTTTTCTTTCTTTTTTTTCTGTCTTTTTAGTGATCTGATTGAGTGAACCATGAACACTGGTGGTCGGCTCGTTGCGGGGTCGCACAACAGGAACGAGTTCGTGCTGATTAACGCTGATGAGACTGCACGAGTACGTTTTCTTCCATTTCATTTTCAAAAGTCATTTCCAGTTCTGTGATGAATTTGTTTTGAGAAAAAAGAAAACTGTCTCCTTTTATGGATCTGGGTTTAGAGAATTTAGTCAGAATTGGATCTGGGGTTTACTGTAATCAAAGGTTTTCGGTAATGCCGCTTGATTTTCTCAGATATTGCATGATTTATACGTGTCGGCAGGGATCGAAGGGGTAAAGTAAACGTCAGTTTCATACTGTCTGGAAATTAGACCGCTCTTTATACGTTTTGTCGATTTGTCTAGCTGGTTTTTAGGTGGAATTCATTGGCATAGCTGTAGCGGTGGAGTTCGAGAACTCAAGTTACACCGTTCTTGATCACTTGAGCTGTTCTTGTTGAAATTTACAGATGATTCAGATGGCACGCTAAGTGTTGTGGTCTGGCTTCGTTAGATTCTTGAAAACTTCAGCAAAGGAGTTGAAATTTTAGATTGCAATCTGCGAACATTGAGATCTCAAACTCGAAAGCAACTGTAGAAATGTCTGTCACTTCTCAGTTTGTCGGAAATTGACGCTTGTCTGATTACGATAAGATTCCTGTGAACTCAACAGCCCCGTCTTGGGAAACTGGAGCTTTAGTATATATTCGTGAAAGATGGTTTTGTGCATTGATATTCATTCAAGTTGTTCAATGGGCTGCCTGCCTATTTGGGGACTTCTTGTGTAGTTTATAGATTGTGCAGAATATTTTGATTTTCATCTGGAAGATTCGATGGTATAAACCTGATCTGTTTCTTTACTCTGTGGATTTTTGTTCAGATCCGATCAGTTCAAGAACTGAGTGGCCAAAACTGTCAAATCTGCGGGGACGAGATAGAGTTCACGGTGGACGGGGAACCGTTCGTTGCATGCAACGAATGCGCATTCCCCGTTTGTAGGCCCTGCTACGAGTATGAAAGAAGAGAGGGAAACCAAGCTTGTCCCCAATGCAAAACCCGATACAAGCGTCTCAAAGGTGAGACCTTTCTTTCGACGAATGATCGTCACTTGTTTTCTTTCTTTCTGGGTTTGAATAATCGCCAAATGTTCAGCGTTGGACTGAAAGCATATGTGCTGCTATTGTACCGGCAGGTAGTCCAAGGGTTGAAGGAGATGAAGAGGAGGATGGAATTGATGATCTGGAGCATGAGTTTGATGGAATGGACCCTGAGTACGTTGCTGAGGCCATGCATAACACTGGCCGTGTACCTAACGCGTCTGGATCGGACATGGATTCTGCTCCACCCGGCTCTCAGATTCCTCTATTGACGTATTGTGAGGAGGTGAGGTTTCGTTTCCAGAGTTACTGGTGGAGATTTTCGATGAATGTTACTTGTAATCCATAGATGTCTTTAGATATGAATGTGATGGTTCTTTTCCTCATGTGTTCAGGATGCTGATATGTATTCTGACCGGCATGCTCTTATCGTGCCTCCGTCTACTGGATATGGGAATAGAGTTCACTCGGCATCATTTACGGATTCCTCTGCTCCTAGTACGTGCTACTGGTTCTCTTTCTACTTTTAAACCTGTCATTTTATATGAACCCACCTCCTAACGAGTCAAAACCGATCTGTTGTTGCAGCACAAACGAGACCGATGGTTCCTCAGAAGGATATTGCAGTATACGGATATGGAAGTGTTGCGTGGAAAGATCGCATGGAAGAGTGGAAGAAAAGACAGGGCGAGAAACTTCAGGTTGTGAGGCATGAAGGCGGTAACGATGAACTGGATGATCCTGATTTACCCATGTAAGCTAACCTTTCTGGTCCTCATAACTTCTGCAGATTTTGCATCCTTGAGATATTTTGTTCTGTGCTCATGAATTCTCGTTCTGAAAGTGTTTTTGCTTTCTGTCAGGATGGATGAAGGGAGGCAGCCGCTATGGCGGAAGCTACCCATTAGTTCGAGCAAGATAAATCCTTACAGGATTTTGATCTTGCTTCGGCTCGCGATCCTTGGCCTCTTTTTCCATTATAGAATTCTCCATCCGGTGAAGGATGCATTTGGCTTGTGGTTGACATCTGTGATATGTGAAATATGGTTTGCTGTGTCGTGGATTCTCGATCAGTTTCCAAAATGGTGTCCCATAGAACGAGAAACATACCTCGACAGGCTCTCTCTCAGGTACGTTCACCCTCCCTTCATCATTGAAAGTTTTATTTTACAATTACCATTTGAAAAATTCTTGCCTCACTATTGCTTTTTAAACAAAGTTCCACAGGTATGAGAAAGAGGGGAAGCCATCGGAGTTAGCAGCAGTTGATGTCTTTGTCAGTACCGTGGATCCGATGAAAGAGCCTCCACTGATAACAGCAAACACTGTTCTGTCTATTCTTGCTGTTGATTACCCAGTGGACAAGGTTGCATGTTACGTCTCGGATGACGGTGCTGCAATGCTTACATTTGAAGCTCTTTCAGAAACAGCCGAGTTTGCGAGGAAATGGGTTCCCTTCTGTAAGAAGTTCAACATCGAGCCTCGTGCCCCTGAGTGGTATTTTGGCCAGAAGATGGATTATCTGAAGAATAAAGTTCATCCGACTTTTGTCAGGGAGCGTCGTGCTATGAAGGTTTGGTGCTTTCTGTTTTTGTGTATCATTTTTTATCCAAAGGCTATATATAAGATTGGCCCGAAAGTGTTGAAATATGGTTATTTTGTTGCAGAGGGACTACGAGGAATTCAAAGTGAAGATAAATGCATTGGTTGCTACAGCACAAAAAGTTCCGGAAGAAGGTTGGACCATGCAAGATGGAACTCCTTGGCCTGGAAACTATGTCCGGGACCATCCGGGTATGATTCAGGTGAGATGGAAGTACTTCTCTTCCGGTATACGTTCTGACCCTTTCTTTGACATAGACTGAGGCCTGAGATATTTTGTTGAGCAGGTCTTTTTGGGACAAAACGGAGTTCGTGATGTGGAAGGAAACGAGTTACCTCGTCTGGTGTATGTTTCTCGTGAGAAACGGCCAGGATTTGAACACCATAAGAAAGCCGGTGCTATGAATGCCTTGGTATGAACTAGGAACTGTTCTCAGTAATCTCTCTCTCTGCATGTTTTTCCTTCTCCAAACTTTGAAACTAAAGTCGTTAACTTTCTTGAATTGTGTGGCTCGTGAAGATCCGGGTCTCAGCCGTTCTCTCGAACGCTCCTTACCTTCTTAATGTGGACTGTGATCACTACATCAACAACAGCAAGGCACTTAGAGAAGCCATGTGTTTCATGATGGATCCACAATCGGGAAAAAGCGTGTGTTACGTTCAGTTTCCTCAGAGGTTTGATGGGATCGATAGGCATGATCGGTACTCAAATCGCAACGTTGTTTTCTTCGATGTATGTACCATTTTCATGTATAAATGTCTCGGCTTCTCTTAGTCCATTAAGCTGCTCGCTTCTCACTGTTTTATTCGGTGACTTCTATAATGCAGATTAATATGAAAGGTCTTGATGGCCTACAAGGACCGATATATGTCGGGACAGGATGTGTCTTCAGGAGACAGGCGCTGTACGGTTATGACGCGCCGAAGAAGAAGAAACCGCCTGGCAAAACCTGCAATTGTTGGCCTAAGTGGTGCTGTCTATGTTGTGGGTCAAGAAAGAACAAGAAAAACAAGACAAAGGACAAGAAGAAGCACAGAGAGACTTCAAAGCAGATACATGCACTTGAGAATATCGAGGAGGGTGTCGAAGGTAAGGAAGACAGAAAGAAACATTTACCCATGAGAAGAAAACCTGATGCTTTGTAGATAGATTCTCGCATATTGGTTAAAACTTTTCTATGGAAAGTCTGATACATAGCTGATGATGGGATGCGATTTTTCAGGGTCAAATGCCGAGAAAAGATCTGAAACGGCCCAGATGAAGTTGGAGAAGAAATTCGGTCAATCTCCTGTTTTCGTGGCCTCTGCTCAACTGGAGAACGGTGGAATGCCTTGTAATGCAAGCCCTGCTTCTCTTTTGAGGGAAGCTATCCAAGTCATTAGCTGTGGATACGAAGACAAAACCGAATGGGGAAAGGAGGTAGGCAACAACCTACAAAATCCGATAGACTCTTGTTTTCTGACAACTTTGTTGCAAACTAGTTCTTGTGAACTCATTTGTCTTGTATGGTGTATATACATAGATTGGCTGGATATATGGTTCGGTTACTGAGGATATCTTGACCGGTTTCAAGATGCACTGTCATGGCTGGAGGTCTGTGTACTGCATGCCTAAACGACCAGCTTTCAAGGGTTCTGCCCCAATCAACTTGTCAGATCGTCTTCATCAAGTTCTTCGGTGGGCCCTTGGTTCTGTCGAGATTTTCTTGAGCAGACACTGCCCGATCTGGTATGGTTACGGTGGCGGCCTGAAATGGTTGGAAAGATTCTCTTACATCAACTCGGTTGTCTATCCTTGGACTTCCATTCCTTTGCTTGTCTACTGCTCTCTCCCAGCCATCTGTCTCCTCACCGGAAAATTCATCGTCCCTGAGGTATTGCCGTTCTCTTTCACTCCTCGTAACTTCGTTCTTTTGCATGATCCTACCAATAAAGATTTGACCCATGATCATGAACAATCCAAGCATTTAACATATGGTTTTTGATCCTAAAGTCTGAAGCTTTTTGACATGGTTTTTTGGTTTCAGATAAGCAACTATGCAAGTATCCTCTTCATGCTTATGTTCATATCGATTGCGGTAACGGGTATTCTCGAAATGCAATGGGGAGGTGTCGGAATAGACGATTGGTGGAGGAACGAGCAGTTCTGGGTAATTGGAGGTGTCTCTTCACATCTATTTGCTCTTTTCCAAGGTCTGCTCAAGGTATTGGCCGGTGTTAGCACAAACTTCACAGTCACATCCAAAGCAGCGGACGATGGAGAGTTTTCAGAGCTTTACATCTTCAAGTGGACATCCTTGCTTGTTCCTCCGACAACCCTTTTGATCATAAACGTCATCGGTGTCATTGTCGGGATCTCAGACGCCATTAACAACGGGTATGATTCGTGGGGCCCGCTCTTCGGCAGGCTGTTCTTCGCGTTCTGGGTGATCATCCACTTGTACCCTTTCCTCAAGGGATTGCTCGGGAAACAAGACCGGATGCCCACCATTATTCTGGTATGGTCGATCCTCCTCGCTTCAATCCTTACGCTTTTGTGGGTCAGGGTCAATCCATTCGTCTCCAAAGACGGACCCGTTTTGGAAATCTGCGGTCTGAACTGCGACAACTAAAGTTTGATACAATAATAAAGAAAGAAGCTTGGGCTTTTTTATGGTGTTATGTCTCTAAGAAGAACCATCATCGGAGCAAAGACAGTGAGAGGTTCTGTTGGAAGCTAAAGGAATGTGCTGATGATGTGTATGTACTCTTTTGGTGAGCGTTGTTGTGTAGACAAAAGGAGATGTGCAGTTTTTACATAAATTCTTTTATTATGTGTTGTAATAGTTTTATTTTGATTTTCTCTAGGGAGTTTTTTCTTCTTTATTTTTGTGGTTTTCATGTATTATTTCCCTGTCATTGTATGGTCTTAAGGACATGTGGGGACGATGAATCATATATTTATACTCTTGTCAATAAGTGATTTTGAGGTTCCAAAAATCTTATGCTATTTTTTTTTTAATTTTGGTTCCTAGACATTTATTATGCCATAATTTCATCCTACTCTGCGTGAAAAAAAAAAATCATCCTATTCTGTTACAAAAAATTCATGATCTCGTAGATTTAATGGGCCTGGCCATAATCAAAAGCATATAGTGAAAAAGGCAGATGAGGACAAATAAAACCCTAATCCTTACGATGCTTCTTTCACTATATATATATACCCTCGCGCCTTCCTCTAGCCGTAGAAACCGAGGAACCCTAAAATCTCAGTATGCGATTTCGTTTCTTTTTCGCTTGTTGTGTGGTATGGTTTTGGTTCTAGGCAATCGATATTCATAATCGGTGAGGATTAGGTCAAGCGCCCTTGTGTACGGCAAACCCATATGAATCTTAAGAACCCTAAAATCTCAGTATGCGATTTCGTCTCTTTTTGTCGTTTTTTGGTGGGCACTGTTCTACGTTTAAAATGATTCTGAATGGTCGATGATGATAAATCCGAAGGCTTGTTTCTCAAAACATTCGCAGTGGCCGCCTAAGAGCTTTCGCCTTTCGCGGGGCTTGAGAGCTGATGCTGTTCTTATCCTTCCTTGGATGTCTGAGACTGATAAATTTTGCATTTATACTGGTCATGGTATGCAGTGTTGTTGTTTGAATCGTCAACGATTCGACAAGTGTTGTGAAGAATAAGATCAGGGATGACAAAATCCGAAGGCTTGTTTCTCAAAACATTCGCAGTGGCCGCCTAAGAGCTTTCGCCTTTCGCCGGGCTTGAGAGCTTATGCTGCTTTCCTCCTTCCTTGGATGTCTGAGATCTTACCCTCACTTGTCCTTCTCCGCAATCTATGTCATTGTCAGTCCATGTTTTTGCACTTTGTTTGTGGTGTTCTTGTTAAGAAATGGCTCACAAAGATAGTGTAAAGAATTGAACTCAGCGTCTCTGTCTACCTAATTTTTTGTTTCGAGTATTTTGTGTTTAATTTTGCAGGAGGAGCTTGTCTCGTGATCTCTGGTGGCATGTAAGATGTTAAATGGCAGATTCGCCATTAACAAGGGCGTTGTGTAACTCAGAATTTAGAAATTGTACAGTATGTAAAAGTAGGGTATGTTTTGTTTCTGGGTTTTGACATTGTAATAATATCTTGTAGATTTTCTCAGCCTGGATTTGAGATGATTCTGTGTATACTACACGTGTAAACTGATTACTCGTTATGGATTTTCCCCCTTGTTTGAAGCTCACATTCTGTCTAAAATTTCCTACTTTGTTGTATTGACCATTAATTTGACGCATATTTTATAAAATCTATACGAATCCAACGATATAATTTTGTCATGATCATTAGGAGTGTCAACATCTTTGGTGTAGAAGCTAGTAAAACCTGTTACGGATATAGTTATCCGTGCCTCCAAGCATCCATCTTCTTTGTGATAGTTTATAAGTTATCCTGCATCCAAACACCCCCTGGGCCTTCGTCGGTACTCCCGCCCGCGCCCCCGACTTGGATAATTATCAGTGAAATTCAAATTCTATATTTCGTGCTCTTTCTCCGTCTTCTGACATGAGCGACACGATCCTGATCTCCGATGGGGAGGACCAGGCTACTCCACCGCCATTCCTCTCGAAGAGGGCTCGTACCAATCCAATCCCTACGATTCTGATCTCTGACACCGATCCGACGCCGCAGAAGCGACCGCCGGACTCTGCGTCCACTCCCTCCTTCGTTGCCGAGACTCCTTTCTCCGACGATGTTTCCGTCGTCAAATGTTCCATTGACGTCAGAGCTGGGGTTTCTGGTTCCGACCGCGAAGACAAGTTCTCCGGTAAGTTGAGGTTGCATATCGGAGTCTCTCGAACCGTCTTTTTTGAATTCGGAAATAACTTAGGGTTTGTATCTGGCGTGATTGATGGGACGCTTCGTGAATTGAAAAATCTATGTAGTCTGTGATTTTATGGAGTTTTTATGATTCCTGAGGCGCTATTTCGGTTCAGTGCAAAGGTCTCAGCTAAAAGTATACTGCATTTGTGCTATTTCGCTAATATTGTGCTAAATTTGACGGATCGTTTCAGAGAACCTGAATTAGCTTTTCTTTGATATTGATTGATTGTGTTGTTTTAGATTTTATGTTCTTTCGTATTGGTTCTAAACTTGTTATTTGAATCATCAAGATAACAACATTTCTCCTGCTTCTTTACGTTTTTTTTTTAAATCTGACCAGGTAAACGGATAATATCTCTAGAATCGGAGTCTGAAAATGAGTCCGAAAACAGTTGTGGACCAGAAATTTCTGAGAAGAATGAATCTACTGATTTTAGTGAGCCACACCACGGTTTGCACTCTAGATTCTGACTTGCAGATTCTTATAAGCGAGACATATTTGAGCTAACTATGGCATACTGTGTGCTCACCTAAGCGACAAACTCAAATTGGTCTACATCTATGAAACTACGAGCAATTAATTTCAATTGCTATGAAAAATATGTTGTCTATTCACAAGTGAAATGGAGACTGTTGTCTTTCAGATAATAACATTATTCAGATGTATGGACCCAGTTCAGCGTATTTGCCAGACACTGTTATTCAGGTAATCCCTCTCTAAAGAACTCGTAATATGTTCCCAATCATTTTGCATATGGTTTTATTTGAAGTTCTAAATGGTGTTTTTGGATAGTTCTAATTGAAACTGTTTGCCTTTGTTGTTAATTTGTGATTTACTTGCTAGAATCAGGTGGATGCTGAACAAGACACAGAAAATATTAGCATTGATCCAATGCGTCTGCAGAAGCAGATCAGAAAACCAGAAAATCTAACTCATGTGGGTGAAGCGTTGTGCAAGAAGGCGGTATCAAAAGAGGAAAAGATTCGTGCAATGGAGGAAAAGAAGCTGAAAAAAGAAGTAATTCCTTCTATACAGTTTTTTTTTTGTACATATTCCCTTGATAGTGATTAATTAGCTTCCATCATCCAGCAAGAGAAATTGCAAAAGGCAGCACTGAAAGCAGAAGAAGCTGAGCGAAAAAAGTTAGAAAAGGAAAAGCAGAAATGGGAAAAGGGGAAGTTAGCGCTTAAATCTATTGTTGCTGAGATTGATGCTAAAATGGTCGAACTAGGATCTGTTGGAGGTGCGAACTTTCTCCACGTTTTCCGTGTTCTTCACTAGCAGAGACTATTGTTGCTTGGCCTTTTGTTTCGGATCAGTAACTAGTTTCTGTCTATATATCCATTTTTTGGCACCAAAACATGGACCTTGAGGATCAGCTCTCTGTTATTAACACAGGACATCTGCTTTCAAGGTTCTCCGAGAAAGGCATTACATTCCGCATAACTTCAAATCCAATTGAGAGATCCATTGTGTGGACAATGACAGTCCCGGAGCATATTTCTCAGGTAATATAACGCACTCAATTAGTTTGGACGTTAGTTGGCTTTATGAGTATAAAATTTGTAGTTGAATGGATTGAAGTTGAATTAGTTTCTTGAGATTCTGTTGTCACATAATGAAATGCCCCTTGGGACAAGTAATTCTTAAAATCCATAACTTGAAGCTAGTTACAGTTTCCACTTGACCTGACTCCCTCTCCTGGTCAAATAAAACTGCCTGCCAGGAGTAAGCACGTTAATTTTAAGAAAGGTAACTTCAGTTTGTCTAAAAAGTCATCAATCAGCGACTGGACGAGATTACTTTCAAATTTCAATCACCTGACGGTGGAATTGGGTTACAGCTTGTCTTAGAGAAGTAAAGGATCGAATGCTTTGTGCTGTGGTTAAGTAACTTTCAGGGTTAGGGATTAGGATCTCTGTGTATGCGAATCAATTATATCCATTATCTTTTTGTACTCACTTTAATGTCACTGCATCTTCTTTGATGGTCGCAGCTTTTGCCGCAAGGGCCAAAGATTCAGTACGTTTTACTTGTGTATGAGGCTGAAGAATTTTGTAATCTTGTTGCAAATGAGAGACTTCTAGAACATGTCTCGAGAGTTCGAAGTCAATATCCGGCCTATACAGTTTGCTACCTGACCAATAAGTTAATGGCCTACATAAACAAAAGGTGGGTTTGGTGAGAATAAATGTTTTTATTTCGTATCAAAGTTATGTCAGTCTGAAGATGGACAATTCGGTTCACTAGGGAAAAGGAAGAGTACAAGAAACCAGATATTTGCAGTGGCTGGAGACGGCCTCCTATCGAAGAGGTACAAGTACCTATAATAAATGTGTCCGGAGAGAGACTTCTTTACCAGTCCTATTTTTTTTCTTCATGTGAACGGAGTTTTCTTGTATGTCTTTACAGGTACTAGCAAAATTAACTACTCACTACGTTAGGGTGCATTCCAGGCACTGTGTAGACGAGGCTGAGGTGGCTGAACATGTTGTCGGTTTAACGAGCAGCCTTGCATCTTGCCATTTCAGGTGGTGACATCTTTTATGCTGTTTTGATTGTGTTTTTTTTTTTTAAATAAATTGAAAATGGTTTCTTTTCTCTATCTGGTTCTTGGTGGTGTCATTTGAGTGGGCCGGCATTGTTAAAACATTTCAACACAAATATGGGCAAATATCAGGCGAGAGACCTCTTAGGTCTGAACAATCGCTTTACAGGATCATGAACGAGCAATGATCTCAAAGCAGTTTTTTTTCATTTTGGTGCAAGAGGGAATGGGTGGATCTAACATAGAAATGAATAGTGCTTTGTGTGTGTGTGTTTATTTTTGAACGTTGAATGATGCTTTGTGTGTGTCAGAATTGAGTTCAGGGTAAAATCTGTTTCGTATTCTGATATACACATATATGAATGAAACAGGACGAAGTTGACAAGATTATCAGTATATGCAAATGGGGCTTTAATCCCTAAGGATTCAGTTGACAAGCACTTAATAAAGAAGACCCCGTGGTGGCTTTCTTATTCTTAAATTGTTGTATCACCACAGTTGTTTTTGTTATTTGTCTTTTGTTGATTGTGAATGGCTATAAAATGTTTACCACAACAGGTTGAAAGCGTTGATAGCTATACCAAAGGTGCAGCCAAGGTTTGCTCTCGCTGTTTGGAAGAAGTACCCAACGATGAAATCCCTGTTAAAGGTCTATATGGACCCTACCAAATCCGTAAGTTATCATCCTCATCTATCAACATTGGTTCTAATGTCCCCGTCCGTCTGGCTATTTCAGATTCCGGTTTGAGTTTGGTACAGTCCGGTTTAGATATTCAGTTTTTATGGATAAACGTACTCATTATTCAAATAATTTTTCGGTTTTATCGGTTACTTTTTTATTCGGTTTTTATATTGGATTTAGTTAAGTTATATATATATAAATTAATTCGAATCAATTTAGTTTTTCAATTATTAACCAAATCGGCCACTGGCATCATAACCCCTCGTAATGATACGTGTATTCATTGCGATTGTATTGTAGGTGCATGAGAAGGAATTCCTGCTAAAGGATTTGAAGGTGGAAGGGTTAGTTGGGGGAGATAGAAGATTAGGGGAGGTCTGTTCTAAGAGGATATTCAGAGTCCTCATGTCTCAGAGCGGAACCATCAAGACTGATGATGTCGAAAACGGTGCTGATTTCTTCCCCTCCCCCTCCTTCTCTCACTAACCTTCCTTTACAGTTGTGTTTTTGTACATTGTCTCATCCCAAATCGAACCGAAGGATGCCTTGTGAAAATGAAACCCTCCGACTTGCAAGTTTTTGTACATGTCATGTGATGATCGTCTTTTTTCTTGTTATGTTATTTCTGTCGGATATATCAGAGGCTCTTTGGGATCAGTTGGGATCATGCCTTCTTCTGCATGCTATTTACTATGGCGGCGAAGCCTATGCTGTCCCCACCTGCTGTAATCTTCAGGGACGAAGAAAGTCCCATGTCAAACGGTCCCAATGAATCACCCTGTTGCCAAAAGAAGAATCTAATTAGATATTGTAAAATATGGGAATGAACAACACGCAACAAACTTGGAAAAAAACAACAGTTTGTTCAAATGAAATTTAGGGGACAAAAAAATAAAATAAAAATAAGGACTTCAAAAAAAGAAAGATGAGAGTGTCGGACATACGGACATACCCACTTGATTCCAGAAAGCCCGAGGCTTCTTTCTTGATCAAACAGTAGTGATGAAGAGAGCAGCTGTTTTCCAGACTCTGATCGAGCTTTCTGTTTCATCACACCCTCATCTTGTCCCCTACCCTGCCATAAAACAGTTTGCATATATCTCTTTAACTTGTCTATAAACATCCATCATGTAAATTCACAACAAGATAATTCCAGCGATGAACACTCCATAGAAGAGGAGACGGACCTTGTCGAGGATCGAGACCGGACGAGCACCCTCTGGACCAGTGGTCGTGGAGGTTGTAGTTGCACCTTTCCACTGAGAAGGTAAGTTGTTTCCAAATGAAAACGCATGGCATGTGTCCTCCGCATCCAGAATAGACGATCTCAGCTCACAAGGTGCTGCTTCACACGTGCCGCCTCTAGTCTTATCCGTTCTACTCACAGAGAATTTGCCAGCGTCACTCCTGCTCCATGCTTTGTCACAGTCACTAGACCTGCCCAGGCCTCCGACACTTACTTTCAGCCGGTTATTGTCCAGCAGACCATCATTACTACGGTTTGGTTCTTGCTCACGGTTACTTGTTAGTCTGCCGTGTAAGGATGCCTCGGAAAGTAGACCTCCAATGCTTATGTTTGTAAGATTATCAACCCACAGAGTTGTGGTTTCCCCGTTTGAAGTTTTACCAGTAGTGCTGCAGTTAGTAGCCCTCAATGACGCTTCTGAAAGCAGGCCTCCAATGCTAAGATTTGTAAGATCGTCCCATGGAAACGATGTTGGGCCATAGTAATCATTTGTACCGTCCTTGTCCTGATTAAATAAAGGTAGTTATCTTTCCCGTATATGAAATTCTGGTATAAGCTCAAAAGCAACAAAGAATGAAAACAGGCTCAGGATTGCATAAGCATTTGGTATGAAAACTGCCCATGTATGTACCTTTGATTGGACTTGCCCATCAGGAAGTATTCTCTCAGAGACAGTCGGGTTGGTAGCTTTATCTTCAGTGGATGGCCTGGACAAGTTATCACCTTCACCAATCTGCTCGTTGGCGCCCTCTGCTTGGTCACTAGATTCTTTTTGCTTGCCTTCACACAGAAAATCAGTTGTGCGGGAAATTGGAAGGGATGGAGATTCCGACGTTTTATCCTCTGTTTCGGAGGTCCACCCATACCTATACACCAAAAAGGGGAAAAGATGGAGAACGAGTCATAAGACTAGAATAAGCTAGAATGCATACACAAACAGGTATTTAGATGCAAACCTCAAGCGGAAAGCAGTGGGAGCTCCAATGGCTGCATATACATCTCCTGCAGTGAAACTGCTGCTGTTTGTTGTCCATTTATAACCAGCAAAACTCACCAGTTTATCATATGGATACAACCTGGGTTCACCCTGAGCAATCTGTGAACTGCCCCACTTACTATGAAGGTGTTTAAGTACAGAAGAGATCTTCTTTCGTGAGCTCAGTGTGAGTTCCAAGTATGGGTGAAAGCCATCCTGCAGGCCAAAAACAAAATTAAGAAGTATTTTTGGTAGGATCTATGGTTAGTCCAATGCTTCGGCATTATAACTTACCTTTTCCAATCCCTCACGGGTATGATCATCAAAAGGAAACAGCTGCAACTTTAATTTTCCTGAAGGTTGAAGTTTTTTTCCAGAAGGGAGCTCAACGGTAGGAACTTCTTGAGCAGGGTTCTTGAGTTGCATCAATCTCTGACCTGTAGGAGATAGAGCTTGAGATAAGGATTTCTCCTTTCTTCCACCCAAACCACTGTTATGTCTTCCTAAAAGATACAGTTATACGTTCATGGCATCAGAAGTAAATTTCAAGGTTGAAAAATCACAGGCTTAAAAATTTAGGCGATGTTGTAAAGTTTACCAATTTCATGAGGTTTTTTCTCATTGGTGCTCTTCATATATTTCTTGGCTCTGGTGCATCGTCCTCCCATTTTAGTTTCCTCTGAATAGTCAGCTGCTTTTTCCGTCCTTTTTCTAGCCATTCTGAGGAAGAGTTTGGAACTCCAAACCAAACTAGCTCCAGAATATACATAACATTTGTTAATAACAAATGCAGTTCAAACCAAAGTCTCCAAAGCCAATAGTAAAACAGACACACATACACAGAAACTCAACAGCACAAGAGTCGAACTACTTTGAGAAATCTACTTCACAGAGCTGAATAATTAGCAGACCAAATAAACCAACTCTCCAAGTAAATAACCACCACTCTGAAAAGCTTCAAGAAAACTGTCTGCACAGGCTTACATAACCCAACTCTGACCACGTATACATTGAATCCTCGGTCTGAAACTGTTTAGTTCAACAGCCAATTGGAACGTGAAGGCCAAATCCAAACGGATGGCCAAGCAGGTATTTCTTGAGAGACAACAAAGGTCTATAGTGACCCTAAAACTAAAAGAAACACAGATATAAACAAAAACCTCGGAGGATGTGGATACTTCGGTTCTCCAAAACCAAATGTTATTTGAATTCAAGCTGTTTTTCATGTCTGTCACTCGTGCAGTTTGATTGTTGGATTAAAAAATCGAATTCAATCATTTCCAATGCGTAAAATTCTGCAGAATCTCACAAAACCTGATAACTATTCCGTTCGAAACCCTAAAAACCCAATCGCCTTTTAAATCTCGACTTACTTATCCAAACGAAGCTCAGAAACAAGTAAATCGATGAGAAACATTCAAGAGTTCAATTCGACAGAAGCAAACACCAAGAACAGTATATCTATCAGAATCGAAATTAGATCAATCCATCTGAAATCAGACTCCAAACGTTCAGATCCCAGACGAGAAATCCAAGATCAGCAAAGAATAGGCAAAAAATTATGTTGAGAACAAACGAATGAGGCCGATCTAAGATTTGAATCCGAGAAAACTTACCAAGGCGAAGCAATTCGAGCTATCTGATCGAGAGGAGACTCAACGAAATACGAGAAAATTTTCGACAGAGCAGAGAGCGCAAATTATGTGGCGGGAATTCTCGAGTAAATGCTTTTAGAAATTAAAATGTAAAAGCAAAAAAATGAGTCTCTTGCCGCATAAATATCGTTGGCAGTATTCCATACGCATGCGGCGCACGCTTCCAATGGGGGTAAAAACGTCATTCCAACTGATACATTAGATGGGCTTAGCTGTACTGGGCCCACCAAGCCCATCACTGCTAATCCAGGAAATAAAGATATAGGCGGTTGGTTCATGAAATCAATTTGTTTCGAAGCCGAAGAATGTATTTTTTATTTTAATTTTTTAGTTTTTGGTTTTTATAGTATTTGTAAATCTTTTAGTTTTTAATTAATTATTTCATTTTAAAAACCCAAAAAAAAAACACTTCAATTTCAATCCCATGATATTGTTGCAGCGTTTTATCACTACTGTTTGCAAACTACACTCAATTCTGATGTTTCATTTGTGCAACGGCAGATTCTGTGAGGTTTGATGAATATATGATGGTCAGATGACTTCCAGTTCTGCAGTCGAGCAGGTAATTGATAAAAACATAAAATAATCTGCTGAGATTGACAAAACTATTCTGAATCAATACGACATCGTTTAGAAGCACAAGTCGGAGCTTACTTCTCCTTCGAGTCATGTCGAGCTGCGGAACGCCTCTGGGCGAGTGCCCTCTTCGTGCTTTCGAGGACTCCGAAGAAGATTGAACCCCCAATACCTATCCACAGTACTCTTGGCCCTATCCCCTACGAGTATTCACATTATAAGGGGTGGTGTTATTGATTGTTATAGAAATCGTCGGGAATTCTGAGAAGAGGAAGCCATTTTCCAGGAGAATCAACGAACTTTTCTCGGGAAAACAGGAAGAAACACCAGAATGGTCGGTGAAAAACAGAGTTGAGAGTCGATGAAAGCTTGAGCATGGCTGAGTTAATCAGTATCCAAAGGTATACAACCCCTTTTCATCTTTCTTTGAAGCTTTATAAAGGTCTGAAAGTGTGAAAGTAAGAATGGGGGTGGGGGTACCTTTAAGAAAGCAGAAGCTCCTTCCTCCTTCGCGATGGTTTGAACGCAATCAAAGATCCCTCGGTATTGTTTGGTTGATCCCTGTCAAGGTATGGTTTGGGAGGAATAAGAGGACACGTTAAGCAAAGTTGGTTGAGTGAGGTAATGATAATAATACCAGTACCTGAACCATTAACCTTGTCTTGATCACATCAAGCGGAGTGGTGATGGCTCCGGTCAGGGCACCTGCATTGACCACAAGGACATAGAGAGGTCTTATGGAATGTTCAAGAATGCGGCTTTTACTCCGACTTATGGATTACCGATGACAGTGAAATCTATGTTCTTACGGTGAAAAGTAATAAGCAATTCTAAGGTATATGCACTGGATTTATTCAAGAATTCATATACGGTTTTACAAATTTTCTATCAAAAGAATGCAAGCCGTGTCACCGACCTGCAAATGCACCGATTACAGCATTCTCAGGATCATTAAGCTCTCTCTGTGCCTGCCAAAGAGGTCACAAGGTAAAGTGTTTGGGAATTTCACCATATCCAAAGTTAGGATTCCTCAGAAAATGGCATGCTCTTGCACAAGCCAAAGTTTACGAATGTTGATACTATCCCACCAAGATGCTTACTGCTCTTTTATAACCCAGCCGGAGCTGCTCATATATGCAGAATTGAATAGCGTCGAATGGCAAATCTCGCAATAGGAAGGATCCATATCCCTATATCCAGAGATAGTATAATCCACAAAACATTAAACCAAGTGTAGGAGTTGCGAATTATGGGTCTCGACAGGAAAAAAAAAACAGAAAACCTCTGTTTAAATCACATAGTCATTTTGGAAGGATAGCATACAAAATAAAGGTAGGTGTTACACTAATACACTTACAGCGTAAAGACCTCTAAATCCCTCCTTTGATGCAATAAGCCGCACAGCGTCAGGGGCTGATGTAAATTGTCCTGTCTGCATTCTTTGCTTCACAACCTACGGAGTACAAGAAAGGAAAACGTTGATCAACATGCAGAAGAGTTTCTGAATAGCAATTTACTTTTTAATTCATACCTCTGTTGGAACCCGGATCAGAGAGGCAGCAAATCCACCAATAGCACCTGCAGTCTAAAATTTGAACTCTTAGATTCCATGAGAAGAGAGGTAATGAGCCAAGTATTCAGCAAGTGAACAGCTAATCCGAAATGTCATGAAATCCCTCGCGCTTCAGGAATGC